AAGGTGATAGACATGTAAAATGGCACAGTTTCAATGTAAAACAGCGACTCCTCAAAAAAATTAAGAATAAAATCATATGATCTAGGAACTCCAGGGCATATATTCAAAAGATCTTTTTAAAAGATCTTGAGAAGAAACATAATTGAGGTCAGAGGAATAGCAATGTAAGAGAGCCTCTTGGTCTTTCCCCATGAAATTTTAACAAGTTAATCAACTATAACTCAACAAAGAAAACCCTGCTCAATACACAGGCATACTTGAGAGACAAAGGCACTGAAACTTCTAACGGTGGGAAAGCAGGAATAAGTGAGGAGACAAGATGGGAGGAAAGCACAGATGGTCCATAGATGCAGCCCTGTAGCTGGGAGCTTGAGCTAGGCTTGGAAAGATGAAGCTGGTGGTAGTAGGCACTTCTTTCAGCTTGTTAGAGGAGAAATTTTTGAGCATGCTTTCTTGTAATCAACTTAGCCTTGAATTCTAGCTGCATCTCACAAAATAGCCCTGGAAGATAGAACTGTCAGCTTTCTGAAGAATAGGATGACCCTGTAAATAATATGGTCATCAATAACATGACCCTGACATTTCTTAATAAAAACTGTTTTTGTTTTAAATTACTGTCTCTGCAAAAACAAAATATGGTAAATGTGCTTAAAAAGCAGTCCTGCACAAAGGGTTGGGCTGCTCTCTGGACTTCCTGCATGGAGAAAGAGCAGTCACCAGCCAGCTAATAAAGGCTCCCTAAATTTTAATTTGGTCTGGACTCCAGTGGTCGTTCACTCCACAACAAGCTGGAGGAACAGAGCTGTGGGAGTAGGGCAGTCCAGCAGGGAGTGATGGAGGGAACATTGACTAAGCCAGCAGACACCTGACAGAGTACAGGATTCTGCAGTGCGGTTCTCCGCTGTTGGGTCAGACAAAGAAAAAGAACCAGAGAGCCCTGCCAACACATGGACTCCCTACCCTCACCTCCCGTTGCCCTTGGAGTTGGGTTGAAGAGCATGTAATCTGTAAACCATTCGTTGGAATGTAAACTGGTGGGGCCACGATGGGAAACAGTTACATAAAATACCATATTACCCAACTATCCCACGTTTGGCTCTACACCCAAAAGAATTTAAAGCAGGACCTCAGAGAGATTTGTATGTGCATGTTTATTGCCACACTATTTGCAATCATTGCTTGAGGTAGAAGCATTGTCTAATGTCCATTGACTGGCAGATGGATAAATAAATGTGGTCTGTTTGTACAGTGGAATATTATTCAGCCTGAAAAGGAAGGAAATTCTCACACACGCTACAACATGGATGAACCTTGAAGACATTATACTAAATGAAATAAGCCAGTCACACACACAAAGACACAGTATGATTCCACTTACATGGGATGACTGGAGGAGTCAAATTCACAGACACAGCAGGATGGTGGTTCCCAGGGGCCGGGTGAGCGGGTATGGGGAGTTGTTTAATAGGTGTGGAGTTTCAGTTTTACAAGATGAAAAATCCTGGAAATGGTTGGTGGTGATGGTTACACAGCAATGTGATGTAGTTAACAAGACAGGACTTTATACTTAAAAGTGGTAAATTATATGTTATTAAAAATGCTTTTATGCCGAAACCAGCTTGGCTCAGTGGATAGAGTGTCGGCCTGAAGATTGAAAGGTCCCGGGTTCGATTCTGGTCAAGGGCATGTACCTTGGTTGCGGGCACATCCCTAGTTGGGGGGGGGGGAGGGGCGTGTAAGAGGCAGCTGATAGATATTTCTCTCTCATCAATGTTTCTAACTCTATCCCTCTTTCTTCCTCTTTGTAAAAAAATAAATAAAAATATATTTTAAAAATGCTTTTAAATATTAAAGCTTTTGCTCTTTAAGAGACCCTGCTAAGAGGACAAAAAGACAGGTACAAAGTGAGAGAATATACACTGAGTGACCAGATTATTATGATCTCTGAACGCATAATAATATGGCCACTCTGTGTGTGTGTGTGTGAGTATGTGTGTGTGTTTATTAGAGGCCAGTGCATGAATTCATGCATGGGTAGGGTCCAGCCAGCCTGGCCAGGGGGAGGGGACATGGGCAGTTGGCCAGCCTGCCTGCTGGTTGAACTTCTGGTCGAGGGGACAATTTGCTTATTAGCCTTTTATTATATAGGATATAAATGGAATGATCAGATTATTATGCATTTAGAGATCATCATAATCTGGCCACTCAGTGTATTTGTAAGCTGTATATCTGAGAAAGAACTAATATCCAGAATATATTCAGATCTCTCAAAACTCAGTAGCAAGTAAACCAATTATAAAATGGTCAAAAGATGTCTTTATCACCTGAGAGGAGATAAAGATGGCAAAGGAAATTGCAGCACTGGCAGCACGCCTGCCCTCCCAGAGTAAGGAAGGTTTGTGCTCACATGCACATCTGCACACAGGTGCTTAGAGCAGCTTTGTCTGAAACAGCCACAAACTAGGGGTGACCCAAATGCCCTTTGGTGGGTGAACGGCTAAAGAAGGTTTAAACCAGTAAAAAGGAATGATCCATTGACATATGCAACCGCATTCACCAATTGCCAGAGGATTCTGCTGGGTGAGAAAAAGCCAATTTCAAAAGGTTACTCAGGGTTACTCTGTTTATATATAACACTTAAAATGACAAGAGTATATCTCTTCTCGGCCTTTGGCTAAGATCAAGTGTAAAATGACACAAGTATATAAATCAAGACAAATTGTTGGTTGCCAGGGTTGAAGAGTGTTAAGGGTGAAAAGAAAGTGGGTGTTTATTTTTTTATTATTTTTATTTTATTTTATTTTATTTTATTATTTATTTATTTATTTATTTATTTATTTATTTATTTATTTAAATAAATCTTTATTTCCTTCCTGCTAGGGAATGCCAGGCAGGCACCCAGCCTTCTCCTCCTCTCCGGTGCGCAGCATGTCTCCGTACCTTAGGCTTTTTCAGCTCCTCTGATTTTCCTTCTGGTTTTCTCTTTCCTTCTTGTAGAATTTTCAGTCAGTCGACTACCTGTAGCTCTGGGCAATGTCAGTCAGTCAGTCAGTTGACTACCTGTAGCTCTGGGCAATGTCCATTTAATATTTTAGTTGTATTCCATTGAAATTGTTGTGTGCGGCTGCGGTTAGGTGTTTACCTGTGCAGCCATCTTGGATCCTGTCTGGAAGCGAGAATCTCAAGAAAGTGGGTGTTTAAAAAAAGGGGGGCATAGTATGAGGTCTCCTCTTGATGATAAGCATATCCTGTAGGCTTATTGTATCGATGTTGCTATCCTGGCTGTCAAATTGCACCAGAGGTTTGCAAAATATCACCATTGGGGAACCTGGTTAAGTGATCCCTGGGTTCTCTGTATCATTTCTTTTAACTGCATGTGATTCCACAATGATCTCATAATAAAGCTTAATTGAAAAAGTATGTAATAAAATATGATTTTATTACTGTTTAAAATGCAGTACATTTAAAAAATATATTTTTTATTGATTTTTTACAGAGAGGAAGGGAGAGGGATAGAGAGCAAGAAACATCGATGAGAGAGAAACATCAACCAGCTGCCTCCTGCACATTCCCCTTGGGGATGTGCCTGCAACCACAGTACATGCCCTTGACCAGAATCGAACCTGGGACCTTTCAGTCTGCAGGCCAATGCTCTATCCACTGAGCCAAACCAGTTTCGGCAAATGCAGTACATTTTATTTGATCTTTAGAAACAACCTGCTGATAAAATACTTAAAACGGAGGGAACTTGGATTTGAGTGGATTTATCAGGCAGGGTTCAGCCAGGAAGAGGGCCACCCCTAGGAGAGACAAGGAGAGGAGGGGAGGGGGAGAAGAGGGGAGAGGAGGAGAGAGTCAGGGAGGAGTGGGTGAGGATGTGGCATGGCCTGTGCCATAGGATGTCACCAGGGCGAGTCCTAAGCTGTTTCTAAGCGAGTCCTAAGTCAGTAGCTGTTTCACAAGAAGCACTGGTACCAGGTACCAAGGCAGCACACCCAGGAGAGCCGGGCTTCCCAGGAGGCAAGGCCAACCCGGCAGAGCCCAGGAGAGCGGAGCTCCTGGGGGACCCGGAAGACCCGTTGCCTCTGTACGGCCCCAGCAAGTGTCTCTGGTGTGAGAGTCCGAGCTCTGCTCCACGTGAGCAGGTCATCCCAGCACACAGCACAGATGAGGTCACCAAAGACAAGGATGTAAGTGTCACCTGGTCCCCACATACAGAGCCTGGCTTTCTGTGGACGTGGTGAGCTGGGGCTGGGCGAGCGTGTGAGGGAGAGGAAGGGGGGGCTCAGGCACAGGTGCCTCTGAACAGGAATGGCCAGGGTGCAGGATAGCACAGAGCTCCGACAGGCCCTGGGCACCGGGGACTGCCCTGAAGGAGCACTGGTGCGGGGAGACCATTCCTGACAGCAAGCGGAGCTGGAGCTGGTGGAGGTCAAACAAGGTGGCACACGCACTTCCCAAACAGGATTCCTCTCCTGGGCAGCAGGATGGGGTGGGGAAAAGCCATGGTGGCTCAGGCCCCTTGAGCAGCTTCTGTAACACCTTCCCCAGCTCCGAGCCCACCCTCCAATCCCTCCGGGTGGCCTGGCTGATCACTCACCAGGCTCCTCCTGCCTCAGACCAAGAAAGGGCTGTGGTGGCCTCTATGGAGGCCCCGATGGAGGGCCAGAGGCAGGAAGTTCACCATGGGAACCGTTCAGTCTGTGCGCCTTGGAGCTCAGGGTTCCAGTGGAGGTGCCTCAGAGCTGGCAGGTGGGCTGAGGGGACTAGTGTGCCAGGCTGTGTGGGATGCGGGGCTGTTGGGGGGGGGCGGTCTGTTTGTAAGCTGCCCTGACAGGCCCTTCCAATCCACGAACCAGGAAGGGCAGTTCTGCTAAACGGACGGCTCCCCAAACCCCAAGAGGTGCAGGGCCCTCCCCTCTCCCCCAAAACAAAACAGTGAAAGAGATGGTACCTTGAGCGGTTCAGGTTTTTATTGGTGTATCTGTGCATATACTGTGTGCGGAGGCCAGGCCAGGGGTGCGGCCCCGCAGTGTGACCCCCCCCCCCCCCCCCCCCCCCCCCCCCCCGCTTAGAAGGACGGACGGAGCACTCAGCACACGTGGGCCAGGTTGTGCTTCTTGTACAGCAGCGCCCGCCTCTTCTCCCGCTCCCGCACGAAGGCGCGCAGGCGGGCGGTGGGGAAGGTCACGGCGGAGGGCTGGGAGCAGGCGGGGCCCTCCTCCGTCAGCCACGCGCACTGCAGGCAGCTGGACGCGCTCGGCCGGCCCCTGGAGCGTGGAGAGCGGCGGTGGGTGTCAGCCCGCTCTGGCGGGTGCAGGGCACGGGGGACGGGCAGGACGGGCAGCGGGGGCGGCAGGGTGGGGGTTGGGGGCCAGGGCCGCCTTACCAGGGGTGCGCGCACAGCGTGCTCTGCAGGAAGGCCACGGCGCCCCCGGATAGCCCCGCGTAGCAGCGGCTCAGCGAGACCAGCCCCTTGCGCAGGCCTTTGTGCAGGCCCCGCGGGCCCTCGCTGCTCACCGGGTACTCAGCGCTCAGCCTGCGGGGGAGGGGGACGGGACTCAGGTCACCAGGGGGTCTGAGGTCATCCTCCTGGATCCCACACCAGTCTACCCCCTCCCCCCTCCCACTCCCCCCACCCCCCCCCCGCCGCCTCCCGCGCCCATCATGCAGCACTCACATTATGAACGCCGTCACACCGATGGCCCAGATGTCCGTCTGTGGGACAGCGCCCTGGCCCTCCAGGAGCTCCGGGGCTGGGAAAGCAGGGGCACAGGTGAGGCCTAGAGGCAGGCCTGCGGGGGGCGGGGGGACCGGCTCCTGGCCCACCTCCTACCCCACTCACCCATAGTCTCCACGTAGTCTCTGAACCTCTCCGAGGGCAGGACCTGCTCCTGGGCAAGGCTCTGGGCGTTGCCCAAGTCTACCACCTTGAGCAGGTTGTACTCCGTGACGATCATGTTCTCGGACCTGAGGTCCAGGTGCAGGATGCGCTGTGCATGCAGGTACTGGGCGGCGCTCAGCATCTGCCACAGGTAGTCCTTCACCTCGGACTCCGAATATGAGGCCCTGGGGGCACAGGGCAGGGCTCAGCTCCGTGGGTTTCCGCCCAGCCCCTTCCCGGTGGAGGCGGAGGCCAGCCGGGAAGTGAGCCTCCAGCACTGTGCTCCTCCTCCCCCAGCCCCAATCCAGGCCAGGTGGCCCTCACCGCTCGGCCAGGCAGGGGAGCAGCTCCGGCCCCGAGCACAGCTCCAGGATGAGGACCAGGTGCCGGGGGCTGAGGTAGGCGGCGTGTAGCTGGGCCAAGTGCGGGTTGCGCAGGCCCTTGAGGGCCTCGTACTCGCTCAGCACGGCCGTCCTGTCCTCCGGGCGGTAGGGGATGATCTTGGCGGCCAGCTCCCGGCCGCTGGCCTTCTCCCGGCACTGCCGCACTATGCTGAAGCGGCCCCTGGCGAGGAGGCACAGGCCAGGCTACTGAGGACCCCTCCTGCCCCCCAGGTGCCCTCCTGCAGCCCCTGCCCACTCTCAGAGCTGCAGGAGGAAGCCCAGCAGGGAAGGAGGGGGTGCAGAAGCTGGAGCGATGGGGAGCTGCTGCACCTTCGGATCTGTGTTTGGAAGGCCAAGGTCTGCGTGCTGGGGAGCGGCTGGGCGGGCGGCGCGGGGCGGCTCTCCTCAGAGGCTGTGGGAAGAGAAGGCGTGACTCCCCCTGGCCCAGCTCCCCAGCCTGTCTCCTCACACCCCTTCCCTGGCACCCTTAAACCACACTTGGCCTCTCGTTCTTTGGGCCATTTGGGGAGGGAGGAGGGGCAGCCAGAACAAACCTCCCCAGTGGCTGTATGTATTTTGGTGAAGGAAGAGGCGGGGCAATCCCAAAGGAACCGCCACCCGACACCCACCAGGTCCGGCAGAGGCTCACCCAGGTGCCTGGGCCCTCCCAGGTGGACCTGCTCAGAGGGGCTGCTGTAGGGACCCATGCCGGCCTTGCTGACGCACGCAGTCCGGAAGGCGTACACGCCGCCTCTGGAGAGCTTGCTGGCCAGGTAGCAGCAGTCAAAGATGTCCGAGGCCAGCGTGCTCCAGCTGCCACCTGGCACACAGAGCGGGGGAGGGGCAGCTCCAGGTGGGCGGCACCCTGGCCCAGGTGGAGAGACCCCTCCCGGAGGAAGGCTGCCCAGGAGTGCAGAGGGCGCCAGGACTTCCCCCCTTGGTGCCCAGAAGCCCAGAGTGGCCTGGTACTTCCCACGCCCCCTCCCCCCACTAACCACAGGGCCCCCCAGGAGTCCACGGCGCAGGCACAGCCCTACCTTCCAGGCTGCACTGCACGATGTAGGTCACGGGGCCATAGGACTCCACGGGCTTCCAGACCAGCAAGACGCCATCAGCATACACCTCCCCGATGTCCGGGCGCGGGGAGGACGAGGGGCGCTCTGCGGGGCCCACAGTCAGGGGTCTGAGGTGGGATTCCGGGGCGGCCCAAGCAGCTCTGAGCCCCTGTCCCGCCCCTGCATCCCCCTGTCAGGCCTGGAGCCCACCATCCCCTGGTCCCACAGATTCCGGGGTCCCGTTCCTGTGCTGCCTGGCAGAGGGCCGGTGCCTCTCCTGCAGGAGGCTCTGGAGGAGCCTGCCTGCCTGACCACAGGGCTCCTTCATCGAGTGTACGTCCAGGAGCCCATGGAGCGGCCCTCACTAGCAGGCCCCTGCCCACCCCCAGCTCTGGTGAGAGATGCCTCCGCTTGGCTGATCCCCTCTAGGGACCAGTGGGGTCTAAGAGCTAGGCCTGCCTGCCCCATTGGAAACTCCAGGAGGAGGTGACAGCCTGAGGGGGCCCTCTCCCGGTCCCCCCTGAGGTGGCCTGGCGAGGCCCACCCACCGGCCTTTCGGAGGACAGCTGTGGTGGCAGCCATGCCCAGGGCGTTGTGCACGCTGCATGTGTACACTCCCAGGTCCTCAGAGGTCACCACCAGGATGGTCAGAAGGTGGAAGTTCTTCAGTGTGGAGGAGATGAGGAGGCGGCTGCTGCTTTCCAGGACGACCCCGTCTGCATGGGGACAAAGCAAGCCGGGGGCGGGGGGCGCTCAAAACACCCAGCCCTCACCCTACCTGGGCCTCCGCTTCCCTCTGTAAGTTGATGGCCATGAAGTCAAGGAATGCCCCCTGCTGTCCTGCCACCTGCCAGCCTCCCCCCTGACACCAGGCCTCCCCCTGACACCAGGCCTTCCCCTAACGCCAGGATGGCTCGTACCTTTAGTCCAAGTGGCTTGGGCAGCTGGTTGGGCCGACACTTGGCAGGCAAGAGTCACAGACTGGCCCAGGACTACCGTCTCATCTGCAAGCTCCCTTAGGAAGGTCGGCGCTGGAGAAGGGAGGCAGACCAAGTGTCAGAGGTGATCCCGGGCCAGAACGTAAAACCCGAGGAGGGGATGCTAGAGAGAAGCCTGCCCTCGCCCAGTTCATCTTCAACACTAGCCCCTCCTCCAGGCAGTGCTCAGTCCCGACCTCGAGCACCCCATCTGGGCACAAGTCCCTGTGGGTTTTAGCTTGCCCCCTGCTGGCCTGGGCACCGTGGTCTCCTGGGCGGCAGGGGGCCCCCATCCCAGGAAGCACACTCACCTTGGTCTCTGCTCTTCAGACCCGACAGCCGGAACGAAACCAGGCCTGCCTTTTTCCTAGGGGGACCCTCCTTCTCTGGACCTGCATGGAGGACAGGACCAAGGGAGGTCACACCAAGAGGCAGCCAGCTGCCATCAGGAGCACGGGAGGAGGAGTCTGGGGCTGCCTACCACCCACTGCCAGATTCCACCCCCTCCCTAGCATCTGTCCATTCTGGGGGGGAGGGCCTCTGGCAAGGAAGGCCAGCAGCTCAGGGGCGCGGGAGTCCGGAAGTCCTGGCGGAGATCTGGGGTTGAGTGGGGCCAGTGAGGGTCAGGGGTCGGGAACATGGCCCTGGAAGGATCCTCGCCACGGGGGTGTAACCCCTGCATTGGTCCAGGTCCCAGCACTAGGTCTCAGAGGCACATGGGGGGCGGGGGGGGAAGCCAAGAAGGTGGCCTTGGGAACAGAAGCCCGTGTGCACGGGGTGTGGGCAGCACAGGCACAGGAAGGGGTAGGGAGTGCTCCTGAGCTGTGATTCCTGGGCATGTGTGCAAGGTTCCCCAAGGCACAGAGAGGGCACACCTGGCCGCAGAAGTCCCCGTGATGGGGAGGGGGAGTCACCTTGAGGCCTGCCCCTCAGGAGGCTGGAGATATGGGCCACCGAGGCCCTCACCCTCTGACGCAGCCCCAGTTCCACCGGCTCTTCCAGCAGGGCACGCCTCCCCGGGACTCTCCGGGGGCCACCGGAGGGGGGTGACCACTTGCGCTTCCTGCTGCCGTCTGCCTCCCGGAGCAGGGCCGCGCTGTCCTCCGGCTCCTCCCTGATCTCCAGGCCCAGCCCGCCCTGCCAGGACCAGGGGGCCTCCGGGAGCCCAGCCAGCTCCTCCTCGGGCTCCCACGCTGGGGACGGGGGCAGCTCCAGCTTGGGCATCTTCCGGAAGAGCATGAACTCAAAGGGAAGGTACTTGATGTCGTACAGGTGTGACAGGTTGAGGTAGGCAGGCTCCACCTCCGATATATCCAGAGACATGGTGTCCGCTGCCTCCATGTCCCCCGACAGGGACAGGGACAGGTCCTGGATCTGCACCAGCGACACCTGGGACCCCCTGGCCCCGCTGCCCTCGGGCAGGGGCACCGCGCTGGCCTGGGGGAGGGGGCTCTCGGCCCCTGCTTCGTCCTGTTCCTCCAGGGACTGAGAGGCGGCCCAGGTCATCCGGGCCCACAGGGGCCCCTGCCCCAGCATGCCGCCCGCGTCCCCACCGAAGGCGAAGGCGCCGTAGCCGGCCAGCCCGGCAAAGCCTCCAGGCTGCCCCAGGGAGAACTTGCGTGAGGTGGCCTGCTCCTGAGGCTGCGAGGGGCTGGGCTCGGACTCCCACAGGTCCTCGGTGTCCAGGCCAGAGGGGGAGGCTGGCCCCGGAGAGCTGGGCAGCCCGGGCCCCGCAGGGAACAGGGTGGCCTCCAGCCCGCTCTTAGGGCCTGCCTGGAGGCCTGCCTGCGCTGGGGGGGAGGGAGCCTGCAGTCCCCGGGAGAGGGAGGTGCTCGGGGTTGCACCAGAGCCCTTCCCGGTGGCAGGGCCCGCCTGGGGGTGAGAAAAGGGAGCTGGCTGCCCCCCACAGCTGTCCTGGGAGGACCTCTCTTGCTCAGCAAGGCGCGGATCTCCTCCAGGAGATGGAAATGGTCTCTGCCCTTCCACCTCTCTGGCCACGCTCTGCCCTCCTGTTTCAGCCTGGAGGCCCCAGAGGGTGGGTGAGAGACCCTGCCCCTCCTGGCAGGCCTCTCCGGAGTGCCCGGCCCCGCGGGGACAATCGGAGCCCAGGGAATGGCCGCGGCAGGGGCCTCCGGAGGCCCTGGTGGACCTCTCTGAGGAGGGTGCCGAGGCCGCAGGAGCAGCCCCCTCCTCCCGGGCGGCCGCCTCCTCCAGCGCGCGGTGCTCCAGCAGCGGCTCCCGCAGTCCGGGCACGGCGCCCGCGAAGTAGCCGCCCTTGAGCAGGTGTCTCCGCCGCGCGGGCACCCGCCTGCCCGTGGCCGTGGCCGTGGCCGTGGCCGTGGCCGTGGCCGGGGCCCCGCGCGGCGGGCTCTGCTCGGCCTGCTGGTAGAACAGGCTGCGGATGACGCTCTGCCGGGGCACGCAGCCCGGGGCGGGGGCGGCGGCGGGCTCTGCGCCCCCGGGCGGCGCGGGCTCCCGGGGGGCACAGGCCTCGGCCTCCTCGGGCAGGCTGGCCGACGGCCGCAGGAACCCCCGCGGGTGCACCAGCGGCGAGTGCGTCACCGGGGACGGCGGCAGCGACTTGGCGCGGGCGAAGGGCGCCAGCTCGTTGTCGGAGGACGAGGAGCTGCTGGAGGAGGCGGCCTCGCCGCGCAGGTGCCGGGCCACCCCGAGCGATGGGCTGTCGGGCGGGCCTCGGAGCAGTTCGGGGATGGAGCGCATCACCAGGATGGACTTGTAGCTCATCAGGGAGCGCTGGGGGCCGGGAGGGGGGCGTCAGCCAGGGCCCACTGCCTCCCGCCTCCGGTGTCCCCAGAAAGGGGGAGCCAGGAGAGGGGGCGCTAAAAGCCCTTGTCCTCATTCCCTGCACCCCAGGACTCTGTGTCTGTGTCCCGCTCGCTCGTAGGCTCAGGGGACACAGATTCTGAAAGGATGCCCAGCCCCGCCTCCCCATGCACAGCCAGCCTGGGGCCTTAGCCACGCCCACCTGCCTCCAGGCCCCGCCCCCTCCATGTCCCGCCCTCCTCCCTGTCCCACCCCTCAGCCATCCCGCAGCGCCCTCCCCAGGGCCCCTGGCGTCCCCCCCACCACCACTGCGGCCGGCTCACCTGCCAGCGGCTGCGGGCCAAGAGGAACTTGAGCTGCTTGGTGTTGATGAAGTGGGCCTCCTCCGCCGGCAGGGACTTCTGGGGGGGCCAGGAGAGAAAGCACGTGTGTTGGGGAAGACCTTTGGCTCCCTAGCGTTAGGCCCCACCCCTCTTGGCCTTATTTTTCCTCCTGTTCGCCAGGCCTGCCCAGATTCAGCCTACTCACCTGGAACCAGGGGTGGGCGAGGCACTGGGCTGCGCTGGGCCGCCTTCTGTGGGGAGACCAGGCCGGGTCAGGCCAGGGGCCGGCTGGTCCCCGGGACAGGGGATGGGGCAGGAGAGGAGGGCTTGCACACTCACTGGGGGGCCCTCTGCAGGGCAGCCTTGATGAAGTCCTGGGCGTCCTGGCTGAGGTGAGCAGCCACCGGGCTGCTCCAGGACACCCGCCCCTCCAGCACGTTCAAGAGGGTCGCTCGGTCACTCTCGCCCGCAAATGGGGACGCGCAGGTCAAGCTGAAAGCACAGTGAGTGTCGGGCCCTCAGACGTGACCCCGGATCTCTGGGTCCCATGGGGTGAGTTGGCGGAGCCCTGACTGGGATGGTGTCTCATTTCCCTCCGAGTCCCAGCAAGTGTCTCAGACTTGCCCAGATATGCAGGCCCGGGCTGGAGTGGGGATCTGGGCTCAGCCTGGAAGAGAGCAAGGTTAGCCGGCAGCACCAGGCCTCAGCCGGAGGAGGGAAGAGGGCTCCACCTGCAGAGGAGACCCAGGCTCCGTCTACACCAGCCGCGTCCTCGGGCAGAAACTGCTATGGAGGCCCCTGCACAAACCAGCCAGACACACTGAGGAAACAGCTCGGCGCTGTGCCTCACCACCCCACTGGGAAGAGGCCCTCTGAGACGGGGGCGGTGAAAAGCCAGGGCAAACCCCTTATCCGAGTTGGCCCACCGCTTGCTTCCCAACTAGCACCTTGGCTCTCAGGTCTCTGATCTGGGGAGGGCCAGAGGGGCCTGCGGGTGGGGTCTGGGATGCTTCGGAGGAGGTGGACACAGGTCTGCTCACCTGAGGTAGCAGATGACCCCCATGGCCCTGTGGGAACAAAACCACAGCGTGAGTCCCCCAGCCTGGCCCCGGGTCGGGGGCGAGAGGGGAATGGCAGTGGAGAGGAGGGAGGCGGAGGAGGACGGAGGATGGGCCGTCATGGTGGCTTTGTCCCGGGCCCTCCCCGGCTCACCAGATGTCAGAGGCCTCGCTCACAGGCGTCTGCTCGATGATCTCCGGGGACACAAACTCGGGGCACCCGTACTCGCTATACTGTGGCTCTGCCACGGTGACTCTTTGAGCAAAGCCGAAGTCGCAGATTTTAATGTCTTCCCGGGCAGGGTGCACCATCAGGATGTTGGGGGGCTGTGGGGTAGAGTCATGAGTGGGGAAGGCAGTGACCCCTGGGGCTGCCAGATCTGGGGGCGGTGGGGTGGGGTGTTAACGAGGGAGTCTGTGAGGAGCTGCTCCATGAGATGAAGAGGGCAGTGGGGGCCGGGGCAGGTTTTAGTACCACGGGGACAGCCTCTGTTCTGTCAGAGCCACACCCCACCTGCAGGGCTGCTGGCAAAGTGGTGAGCCTCCCATCACCCAAAGTGAGTACATCTTGACAGGAAAACCGGAAGTGGGACCTGTGCCTTTCCAGCCTGCAGGCCCTGGCCCCCCTCTGCTCCTGCTAGGGCTCTGGGACACAGGGTGGGGCACGTACCTTTATGTCCAGGTGGAGGATGCCGTGGCTGTGCAGGTAGTGCAAACCCTCCACCAGCTGCTGGATGTAGACCTTGACCTACAGTGGCAAAGGCCGTTGCTCTGGCGAGACAGTCAGCCTCGACCTCCCCCCCACCCCTTCCGCTTTCCTCCCTATCCTGCGCCCATCTACCAGACCCCATGAGCCTGGGCACGGGGATTCCTCTGGGCCCTGAAGGCGGGGAGGGGTTGGATGTGGGAAGCCACCTGAGCAAACAGGAAGCTGCTGTTTCAGGGGAAGGCAAGGGCTGGCCCGCTGGCCAGGTGCAGGCTGGGAAAGGGAAGTGGTGAGCCCTGGCCGGGAGGTCTTTGAGAGTTGACTGCGGAGCTGTGACACTTTGTGAGGCCCTGGAGACCCCAAAAGGTCTCTGAGCTGGGGCACACTGTGCAAGAGGGGAGGCTGTGTCTGCGGGGGGGGGGGGGGGGGGGGGGAAGAAGGGAGAGAGGAGGGGGAGGCCTGGCGGGTATGCATGCAAGCCCATTGGCTGGGCAGATGGCTCCGGCTGCAGTCACCTCAGCTTCTGTCACCACGCTCTTCTTGAACAGACGGTCCAGTAGTTCCTCTGATGAGCACCTGGGGCTCAGGTCAAGGAAAGCTCTGGGGGCTGGAACCCACCCAGCTCCACTCCCACGGCAAGCCTTATCTTGGGGTGAAGTGGGGGTCCATGCTGGGGAGGTGGGCCCTCCGGGCTGAGGAGAGGAGCTGAGGCCAGAGCCAGCAGCAGAGCTGGAGTGGAGACATCTCTACTCTGCACAGAGCCCACACCCCCTGCAGGGGCAGGGGTTGCTGACTGGGGGAGATGGGGTGGGGGGAGCGGTGAGCACGTGACACCCAGAGACTCTCAGCAAGTGGTGGGGTGAGACCCAGAGGGGGCAGGGAAGGGGTACGGCCCTCCCTGGAGCCTGAATGGGCAAAGTAGGAGGCTCCTGGCCTCCTGCTGAGAGAGGCCATGGAGCAGGGGAGGGGCCCCTGGACGCAGCCCTGCCCAAATTCCTGGCCCAGGGGCAGCGAGCTATGGGGACAGGCCCATGTCTGGGCTGGTTAGTCACACGGCATCGGCATAGGAACGTGCGAGGCCCAGCCGGCTGCCCCCACTAGGAAAGGACCGAGGACACCGGGATCACCGGCCCGCAGCGCCCGGGGGACCCCTGCTCTCCCGAGGCGCGCTCCCTCCTCGGGCGCCTGGGGCTTGGGGCTGGGGGCTGGATACAGCTCCAGGACGAGGATGAGGGTTTTGCGAGTTTCAAACTGGTCCAGCAGCCGGGTGACCAGCGGGTGGCTCAGCTCTGCCAGCACGTCTCGCTCCCGGTAGGCCTGGGTGCGCGTCCTGCTCCGCAGGGGGATGAACTTGGCCGCACAGGACATCTGGTTGCCCTTGTGCTGCACCCTCTTCACAAAGCCGAACACACCTCTGGGAAGAGGGAGCCCACACTGACTCCCAAGACAGCTCCGGGGAGGGAGGTGGGGCTCCTGGAGGGCAGGGGCTGGGGGAAGCGGGTACTGGGGAGGCAAGGGCTGTCTAGAAGTAGGGTTCACAGGGTGCAGGCCTCCTGAGGATGGGGTGGGGGGGAGGTGAGGCTGGGATGGAGGGCCTTCCAGGAGATGGGAGATCCCTAAGATCCCTAAGAGGTGAGGATTCTGGGAGGGCAGGGCCTGGGGCTAGGGGCTGGACAAGGTTCCCGAGAGGACTGAGGGGTGGCCTCTGATAAGTGGGGTCCTCAGGAGGCAAGGATTTCTGGGGGGCCAGGGCTCCAGAGGGCAGGGGATCCTGGGTGAGGGACTCCAGGAGGCCAGGTTTGGGGGACTGGGCAGGGATGGGGACAGGGCTCTGGGACTGGGGGAAATACCTCCCAATCTCTTCCTTGACTTCGTAGAAAGAGTGTAGTTTTCTCCGATAGCTCTGCTTCTCTGAGCCCAGGTCACTGGCCCCTGTTTCCAGGGAGCAGTCAGTGGCCGGTGTGGACAAAGATCCCCACCCCATCTCACTGTCCCCCAACTCCGTGTATCTGCAGGGCCAAGCCTGTGGGGGCTCCCAGGATTCCACGCCCGCAGGACGCCGGGCCGGGGCCTGGGAAGGGTCCCTCACTCACCTCCACCCACCAGCAGCTCCGCCTTGCACAGCACCTGGCCACCAGCGTTCTGGGCCAGGCAGGTGTAGACCCCGGCATCGAGCTGGGCCACCTCCCTCAGCACCAGGGAGTAGGTTGTCCCCTCCTGCTGCTGGCTGAGCCGCGCACTGTCCACAAGCTGGACGCCGTCCTGGAGGCACAGGAGATGGGCGACCATCAGCCCAGCCCTGGGCCCACCCTGCCTCCTGGGGGTGACACGCGATGTCCGGGGGGGATGTCACACGCTCCCTGCAGACGCAGGGCCCCTCCACCTCACCCCTACCTTATACCAGGTCACCGTGGGCTGCGGGGTGCCCTCGATGACCGCCTGGAATTGTGCTGTGCCGCCTTCCTGTGCCTGCACGTCCTCGATGGTGACCTGCATGGACGGGGGCCCTGGGGGAGGAGGAAGCCGTGGGGAGCAGTCCAGGCTGCCAGCACAGCCACCACCGCAGCCCACACAGCAGCCTGTGAGCGGGGCCTGCAGGGACCGAGGGCTGGCAGAGACCCCAGGCGCAGCGGGTGCCCCGGGTATCTCAAGGCCCTGAGCCCCTCGGGTGACAGAGCCCCGGGCCTCCTGATGCAGCGCAGGCTCCGGGCAGGGAGAAGGCACTTCTGAGCACCGTCTCCTGCCGGCCCGGCTTTTGGAGGCGGCACAGGAGCATGAGAGGACATCCGGGACCTGCTGCCTGTGCGCCCTCCCAGGGATGCCCTCTGAGGGAACCCAGGGGCTGGGGTGTCAGGGGCGGACACAGCAGGCTGGCACCCATCGGGTGGCTCCTCCATGCAATGGTCCCCCCGCCAACTGCACGGCGGGCACACACGTAGCCTACTTGCTGCGGCACCCGGGTCGCCGGCCTTGTACACGTATGTCCGGTGCGTGGTCTCTGTGAACACGTGGCTGCAGACATCCCAGAGCTCAGGGGCCTGTGTCCCCGGCCAGGCCGCGCTCTCCATCCTGGAGTCAGACAGCGGGGTGAGTCCACGGCCACCCGTCCACTTCTGGGGCTGGGCACGGACCCTGGTGGCAAAGTGGGTCCCTGCCCCACCCCTGCCCGGGGCTGCAGCAGACGCATGGGAAAGGACTGCAGAGACCCGGGCCCCGCCCTGCGCGTGGAGGGGCTCCCCCACCCCCCTCGCCCCGAGGGGGCCTCTCCTCCTGGCGCTGCCCTTTGGCTGGGGTAGGGCTGATGAGGAATGTCCCGGGGTGCTGCGAGCCCACTTCCTCCTCGGCTGCCCTGTGCCCAGATGCCCCCTCATAGAACGCCCCGCCAGTGTGCCAGGGACGTTACCTGATGGGCACCACGCGTTCGTGTGCCGCGGCAGGAGCCCCTGCGCCCTGGTCCTGGCTCCCAGGAGGGAGAGGCTCCGGCACCTTCCCGGAGGCTGCTGGTGGGAGGCCGGGGCCTAGTGAGACAGGGCCCCAAGGACATGCCCCCGTCACCCACCGGGGCCCTGAGCGGGGAGCACAGGCAGAGCTGGGGCACAGGGTCCGTGTCCCCAAACCCCGGACGCTTGCCGCCCATGTGCACCTCCTCCAGGGCACCCACCTGTCCCAGCCAGGAGCCCACAGCCACCCTGAGGCTGCCCGCCTCCCCCACACCCCATCCCCCAGGGGGATGTGGCAGCCTCTGTGGCAGAGCCCGCTCGGCAGCATCCCTGGGGAGGCATCTGCCAGGGGCAAAGTGTCCTTCTCCTTCCTCTCCTCTTCCCCCCGTCCCCTCCCCTCCTCTCTGACCCAGGCCTCTGACACCCAGGCGGGTGTACTGAGGGTGGGAACCTCCCTGAGCTACCTCCGCCTGGTTTCGTAGATGGGTGACAGCCTGCGGAAGGGCTGGGCCTCGCCCAGGGCCCCAGGGAAAGGATCCCAGTGACGCCTGGGTCCCCAGGGTTCTTGTGCTGCAGCCCCACGGGTGAGCACCCGGGACAGCCAAGGCTTGGGTGGGTACAGAGGCGGGGCTCCGGGAGCAGGGGGTGCTTGGCAGGCAGCCTGCCCCTGGGCCTCACCAGGTTCGTCTGCAGCCTCAGTGCCCGGGAGCGGGGAGGTGGCCTTCTGGAGAGCAAGTGGCTCCCTGGGGCCCAGGCCGGAGGTTTCCGGAGCCTCCGGGCCCACCGGTGTCCTCTGGACAGTTGTGCTCTGGTCCACTCGCTCCGGGGCAGTGGGGGGCGGGACGGCGGCACCTGCGGGAAAAGTGGGTCAGCCTGGAGCGGCGAGACAGGCCGGGCCCTGAGCGGGGGCTTCAGGAACTCAGTCCTCAGAGAGCCCAGGCGAGACGAACAGGCTGCCCTTCCTTCCCGCCCTCCACTCCTCTCTCAGGAGGCGCTGGGGGTGGAAGCCCCTGAGAGATACGGAGGCCTGGGAGGGGCAGAGACGGTGCCGAGGGCACGGAGAGCCGAGCCCCACCACTCCTGCTCTTGTGCTCGATGCCTTCAGGAGAACGCCAGCTCCTCAGGAGTCGCTGAGCCTGGTCCCCCTCCATGTGCCCCATCGGCCCCAAGGTCTCAGCTCTTCCATCCTTCACCCTGTGCTGGCCTCCCTCATGGCTCACTCTGGACCCCAGGCCCAGGGGAGCCAGCCCCATTATATAGGGAAGCCTGAAGCCCAGTGAGGGACCTGGGGACCCACAAGGGGCGGGCTCCCTTACTGCCATCCCATAGCAGACCCTGTTCCCCTCCCAGGATGGGACTCCACCAGAGGGCCTGTCCCCTTCCCTCCAAGTACAGCCTGGCTGGCCAGGTCACTGCACCCTCATCTGGCCCTGTCCCGGCCTCCACCAAAGCTCCCACCTCTTCCCGAGGGAAGCACCAGACTCAGCCTCAGCCTCAGTGCCGCCCCTTCCTCCGCCTGGCTGCCCGCCCCAGGTGGCATCACTGCAGTCTGACAGGTGTGCCCAGCCATGCCCACTGCTCCATTCCCAGCGGGTCCCCCTGCCTGGAGCCCTTCCCTGCCCCAGGACCCTCTCCATCATTTCCCACTCCAAAGGGACCCCACACACATCACACCCCATTGTCTGTCCTGACAACAGCTGGCTGCACAGGGCAGGAAGGCCGGCCTGCTCGAGTGCAGGCAGGCTGGTCAGGCGAGCGCGCTGCCTCCGTCCAGGGACCTCAGACGGCCAGGACCCACCCAAGGCTGCAGCAGAGGGGGCCTGGGCTGCCCATGGGGACCCCAGGGCTAAGCCTAGAGGGCCCCTACCGCCCAAGTTCAGAGCCACTGGAAGAAGCAAGAAGGAGCAGAATACAGGGTGCGGGAGCCAGTTTATTATCATCACGGAGTCAACCAAGCAGGGGCTGCTTCCCACCCCGGACCCTGGCCCATGCTGCAGGGAGGCCTGGAAAGTCTGCAGAGGGCACCCAGCGGGCCTTCCTGGGGCTGGGAGGAGTGTCCATGGGAAGATGTCCCCCCTAAAGCCCCCACTGAGATGGGGCGTGGGGCAGGGGTGTGCCACAGCAGAGAGTGGGAGGCCACAGCCCAGACCGAGTCTACCTGCTGCTTTGCCCCCCACCCCACCCCAGCGCTCAGTAATCGGTTACGGCTGTGCGGACAGTGTCCTCAGCTGAAGACCCCGGGGGGACAGGCAGCTGAAGTCCTGAGCTGCTAGAGAGCAGGGGGTGGTCAGAGCACATGTCCTGAGGTGCTGGCTTCAGGGCCCTCTCCTGAGCTCAAAACCCACGGCAGCTGTGAAGCAGGTAGGTGCTGGTGCCAGGCAGGGTCCTCGGCCCCAAGGCCATGCCCCTCTTTCTGCTGCTCTCATGCAGCCGCGTCAGCAGTAAACTGGCTTCGAGAGGGTCCATGTCTCACCCCCTAGCCGCGTGTGCCCTTAGGGTCGAGGGTGGCAGCCTCAGTCCTGGGAGGGACTGGGGCCCTCATCCCCGTCGGGCCGAAGGTGCAGGGTGACTGTCTCACCCACTGACCGTGTGGGTGCACACCTCCGTTTTGAAGCTGCTCTGGCCACTGTCCTCAGAGCGATGGACTTGGGTGCAGAAGGATGTGGCCCCCCTAGCCCGGGAGACCCCAACAGGGCGGAGGACCTGGGGCCTCGGCAGGGCGGTCCCCTGGGGCAAGCGGCTGAAGAAGCCAGGTGGGCCTCGGGGGCCTGGCGGGGGCCACACGTCCAGCAGGACAGGCTGTCCCACCGTGGGCTCGCCGATCTCTCTCTGGAGCACCGAGACCTCGCAGGGCGGGTCGTCGGCGACACTGGGCCTGGGGCTGCTGCAGCCGAAGGTCTCCCCTTCCTGGGGCGTGTAATCCTCCAGGTCAGCCAGGGTCAGCGCACAGCCGTCACGTGTGAGGATCTTGGGGTCATAGCCCCGAAAGTCCTCGGCGCCCAGGGGCTCCTCCATCAGGGGGACACCTCTCCCCTCCTGCACCTCCGGGGGCACCTCCTCTTCGGCGTCCGCACAGAAGACTCGGCCCTGGCTCAGGGGCTCCTGGGCCAGCAGCTTGTTGTTGGAGTTGTTTGTGTTGGGGTCTCCTCCGGGGGTCCCTCCGGGAAGCGTGAAGAGGAGCCCCGCCGAGCTGCCCGGCGCCTCTCTAGCGGGAGAGGCACCCCTGGAGCCTGTCTTCTTCACCTGGACCTCGATGGTCTCCTCGACCTCCACCCACTTCGACCTGGGCCCCGCGCCCCTGGGCGTGTGGGCTCCGGGCTCTGTCACGTACAGCGTGGGCACAGGGGGCTTCCAGCCTGGCTCCTCGCCAGGCCTGCGGAGTTGGGCAGCCCCTGGTGAATGCAGCAGCTCAGGGGCCGACAGGCCTGACCTGGGCGAACTGGCACGGCGCCGGGAAGGTGAGAGGGAGGGAGACTTGCTGGGGGACTTGCGGCGGCCACGGGGGCTCTTCACCACGGTGGTGATGGTCTCCTCTCTGCAGGGAGAGGGCCGAGAGGAGATGGCACGGAGACCTGCAGCCCAGCTTGCCACCCATGCCACAAGCACAATCAGGGCCAGCAGGAGAGATCAGGTTAATGTACCAGCAAGCAGAGGGTGAAACTACATAAGCTCCTACACATGCACTGGAGCCGTCTTTGGAACCTCCATCCAGAGAGCCAAAGAAACAAAGTCTCCTCTGGTCAACCATGGGCTCTGGTGCGCAGACCTCAAATCAGAGTTGAGGCATTAATGCATCACACAGGTGCCTCCAAACCCCAGACCAAGTGCCTGTGGGTAGTATTCCCCGTTTATAGCTGTCTTATTTTGAATGCCAGCCCTCCTCTCAGAGCTAATGGCCAGCGTGCAAGGACAATGCCCCACAGTCCTCCTTCTCCCTTCTCCAGTGTTGTGTGCTTTGTGTCATGGGGAGGTGGCCCAGCAAGCTCTCAGAGGGCAGGTGCCTCAGTGATCTTGAGTTAGGGACAGACTGGCAGTTGATGCTGCAGGTGCAGGTGTGAGAAGGGTGTCAGAGCCCCCACCTGCAGCCTGGGTCCCTCCCTCTTGGTCTGGTGGTGTGGGGCTGGGCAAGGACACTTGGTGTGACTCTGCTGTCTTAGGCTTTGTGACCTAGACAAGCTCTTCCCTGCTTGGGCCCCATCTTCCAAACAGGAAGTGGGGGGAGAAGCAGAACTCAAGGCCAGTTACATGTGGGTGCACATGGGGTGCTGACCAGGGACTCTGCAGCAGCACTGGGGATGGGTCTGATCCCCTTTTACGGAAGTGGACAAAACTAAAAGAGGCTCAAAATTTGCTCAGGACCAAGAGTCAGAAGCCCACCAGCCAGCAAGGTCCTCCTCAGCTGTCCAATGCCCTGACCTGGCTGGGTGCTGAGGATGAAGTGAGGAACAGGCAGGGAGAGCAATGGGCTGAGTAACACACAGCTTTCCTGGGCCCCAGGACCTGCATTTTCTCTTGGGCTCAGGCAGAGGGACTTGGTGTGCTATCGCCAGCTGCCTGCCTGATAAGACATTGTCTTCCTTTCTCCAGCTTTGCTTTTGTCTAACTCAGGGCTCCTTCCAGGAGCAGTCTCTACCCCCCCCCCCCCACCCCCCGGGCATAGCCCCAGGGATTTGTGACCACACCTTAGGGTGCAGAGTAGTTAGAGGCCCTGCCTCCTCCTGCCCTCATCTGGTCAAGGGGAAATGCTATCTCCATCTCACTGAGGAGAAACTGAGTTTGTAGTCAGAGCCTATTCAGGGCCAAAAACCTGTCTTCTTGCCTCACACTCAGGCCCAGAGGTCAGTGTCTGCCCAAATATCAGGGGAACCTGGGCCAGGTCCCATTGCTGGCCTCATGCTGCCTAATTGGCTAAGGAAGGACAGTAGGTCAAGGTGGAACTGGGAAACTGGATCACTCCTCTAAAATGCCACTCCCAGCCTGGCTGGTGGTGCTCAGTGGTTGGAGCGTCAGCCCATGATCCAAAGGTCACAAGTTCAATTCCTGGTCAAGAGCATGTACCTGGGTTGCAGATTTCATCCCTAGCCCTGGTCGGGGCACATGCAGGAGGCAAGTGATTGCTGTGTCTCTTTCACATCGATGTTTCTCTGTCCTCCCTCTCTTCCCTCCTGTCCCCTCTCTCTAAAAATCAACGGAAAAATGTCCTCAGATGAGGATTAACACAAAAATAAAATAAATAAAATGCTACTCCCACTACTGGGGTCACTGCTGCTCCCATAAGGGCATGTGGGCATCCAGCTCTGAGGCCCCTGATTGGCACAGCATGTGGGGCTCCCAGGTGGTAGTCTCTCCAAGCCAGTTGCTTCCATGCCCCTGGCTTCCCAGTACTGTGTGATGTTCCCCTGGTAATGGGCATGTTGTGCCAGGTAGTTGCCTCCCTCCACTTCCCAAGCTGAACGGGTACACTCCTTGTGGGGTGAAAGTTGCTACCACCATGAGCCTGAAATGCAATGAACTTTAGGGTACCTGAAGTCACCTAGTCCAGGCTCCAGTTGGCATGAGTCCTCTCTGACTGTCCCCCACCACATAGGGCTGCCTGTTCCATCTCTTCTTCTCAATATGTCAAAATAGCAATGCTCCACTCATGGATGAAATGTAGAGTTGACCTGTGTAAAGCTGCAGAGTAGTTGCATACCCCCAGGGATGGGGTGCTCACTGCTGCCCCAGGCAGCCCCATCTATTGTGTGTAGTGACCTGTTTTGTGGGAGGAGGAAGGAAGTCAAGGGAAGGTTAACCCAGGACCTTATCAAATGTGTGAATGTGGGATTCTCTAGCAACATGACTAACTGCAGGCCCTTTAAGAGGCGTAAGGCCCTTGAGGAGCTAAGAGGTCGCCATCCTGGAGTTCTCAGTAACTTGGCTTTAGGAAATGATCACCTTTATTAAATCCTGGCTTTTGCAAGCTCTTCCACCACATCCACCTGCATGCATCTCCTATTGGAAGTCCTTCCAGATTGTCCAGGACAAAACCAATCCCGCCCTCTGTAGCTTCAACTACCTCTGGACCTCTTGTGTTATTTAATTATCAACAACCATGTGTCTTTTTTCTCAACTTTACAGGCCCAGTGGGCGTGGCACTGGGGAAATGGGTGCTTGGTTAGCTTCGAATCACGAGCCATCCTTAGAAACCCTCTTTTTTTTTTTTTTCCCTGAACCTCAGTTTCCCCATTTTCCAAATGTGAGGGTTGGACTTGGAGATGTCTATGGGCTCCAGAGCTATGGTTACACTGTTTTAATTAAAGTCAAGTTAGTGAAAGCTAAATTTAAAATTCAGTTCTTCATTTGCACTAGACACATTTTAAATGCCCAATAGTCACATGCAGCTGCAGTAGACACTGTAAACATGTAATATTTCCATCCTCACAGGAAATTCTGTTGGACAGCCACACTCTAGATGCCAGGCTGTTGAAGGGTAGAAATATGCCCCTGGCCCAGCAGGACACAGTTGTCAGTCCCAGATCTACCCTAACAAGTGTGACTCTAGGTGAGACCCTGTGAAGTGTGCAGAGTAAGTCTACCCTCTTGAGGCAGTGCAGCCATGGAGAGGGTTCTGGGGCCCTGAAAGAGAAAGCTCTGAGTGTGAAGGTAGCCACATCCAGGGGAGTGACTTCCCTGGGAGTACCTGCAAGGTGCTGGCAGTCTGTGTGGCAAGAACAGGCAGTAGTGAGGGCAGGCAGTCAGGCAAGCAGGTGCCAGACCACACGGGCAAGATCCAGGTGGGTTAGTGGGCATGCAGATGGCACGGCAGTCAGAAGGAGGATTAGGAACACGCCTGCACTTACATGATGACGGTTTTCTTGGGGACTTTAGTCTCCTGCTCAGTGACTACAAAGAAAACAGTCGGAATAGCGAGGGTTACAGATCAGTCAGCACATGGGCCGAGCTAGCTAAGTGGCATGGCAGTGTAGTAGCCCACTCAGCATAGGAGCACCAGGTCCAAGCTCTGCCGGGCCGTGTGCCCCTGAGACACTGTCTCAGCCTAGAGCACCAGTTTCCTCATTGAACTGCTGACTTGTCTGCCTTGCATGGTGTGGCAATGCATGCTCCAGGAGGGCAGGGCCTGTCCCTCTCGAGGGTCTTGCAGGAGCTTCAGATAGAGCAAGGCCCTTTCCTAGGCTGCCCACACAGAAACCCCTGCTTCTCCTTCAGCTATGTGCCTAGGGAATCCTGGGAATTTGTTAGGCCTATGGTCCTACTTCTCAGACAGAAACTGAGGTCTAGAGAGAGGGAAGGAGTAGCCTGTGGTTGCCCAGTGAGCAAGCAGCCAGACTAGAAACATGATAGCTGATGCCCATTTCACAGGAAAAAAAAACACCCTAAAGATCAAAAGTGTCTCCAGGAGAGAGCGGCTGGAGTCCCGGAGGAGGTGCATCTGAGCTCCACAGTGGGAGAACACAGAGGCCCATGGGGCAGCCTGCAGACGCCTGGCAGCCAGGTCTCCCATGGTAGCACCTAGCTTTCCTCCTCCCTGGAGCAGCAGGATCGGGCCTGTGATTCCCGGCTTGTGATGGGGGACTCAAGTCCCAGAGACAGAACAGGACTTGTCTGGGGCCAGGCAGCAGTTATGCTATCATCTGAAGGCCTCTTTTTCTGCAGCTTCTGGGTGGGATCAGGCTTGGCTCAGGGATGCCCCACCCAGTCTCGCCTACCTGGACAGCAAGGATGCCACTGGCTACCAGCACCCTCAAATCTCAGCATCCTCTCACCATCCTGTGTAAGCGGAAGGGGAGGCTCTGCTTTGCTGCAGAGCCACGTGGAGTAAGGCTTCACCTTAGGCAACCAAGAGTGTTTTAAACTTGTCTGTGATCAGCTGCATGTGAATTAAATGTACTAGCTGAGTCTGTGTGGCCCTTGGGAGTCACACTTACTGTGTGCGCACACATGTGTGTGCGTGTGTGCCTGTGTGGGTATGCACAGAGGTGTATGTATGTGCATGTTTGTGCAAGCCTCTTCCTGGAGAGAGGGCAGCCCGCTGGGAGAGAATGGGTTCAGACAAAATGCCATATATTTGTCTAAGCTGGGTCCAGAGAGTCAGCCTGTTGGCTGCCTCCAGGCAGACCCTGTGCGCAGAGCAATGAGAGAACCAGGCCTCTGCTTCTCACCCTCCCTGACAGGCCCGTCCTGCTGCTTTTGGGAGTGCTGGCCTGGCACCCCTGAATGGCTTTGTTCCTGACCTAACTGCAGCCTGACAGGCCCTGGGCCCTGCTGAGAACTGGCGACTGTGGAAGGATGCAGACGTGCGAAGCAGGACTTCCAGCCCAGTGCGGTTTCACAAGCGAGGGGGCAGCGCCCACTCCACAGGGCCAGCTGGCTGCGGGCCACCAGGTTATCGGTAAAGCAGCAGGCCAGGGTTAGGAAGCGGGAGGTGGCGGGCTCCGCCTCCAGGGTCTCTGAGGGCTGGCCATCTCCCTGAGTGAGGCACAGCACTTGTCCACACTGGAGGCCGGTCACGGAACATTGACAAGAAAAGATCCACCATGACAGTGAAGAGAACGGCTCTGTAGGACGCGCTTATCCCTGGCTGAGAGGGAGCTCCAGCCCCTTGCTCAGTACATCCCCTGGAGATGCCACCACAGGAAGTGGAGGCGCCAGAGGTAGCCCTGTCCTCCGGCAGAACTGGCAGTGCAGGCAGTCCTCTGGGGGATGAGGGACCAGAACCATTGCCCACAGGGAGGGCCGGGTCTCCATGAGGGCTCTGGAGAGTCTCAAAGCCCTGGAGAGTCTAGGTGGCCAACTCTCTGAGGGTCCAGACAGACAGTGGCCCCCAGATGCCAGGTCCTGGGAGGGACTGGGTCTAGTGGCCAAGGATCACAGCAGCCAACTTGCAGAATTAGGAGGACACACATTTGAACTTGTCCTACGATGGGAGTTGCAGCTCCACCAGGTGTTGGCCCAGACTGTCCTTGCATGTCTCCAGGGTCGGGAAGCCCACCACCTTCCCGACAGCCTCTCCCAGGTGAGGCAGCTCAGAGGGAGCAGCTCTTCCCATGGTGGCAGCCTGCTCTGTGAGCCCCAGAAGGCTGCTCTCTCAGACGGAGCAGGCCCAGGACAGATGTGAGCTGCCCTCCTCCCCGTCCTGGCCATCCTCAGCCAGGCCCAGCTGGGACCCTGGGGTCACAGTGTGTGTGAGTGGAAGCATGAGGCACTCCCCTGCCTTTCGCCTCCTGCCAGAAACACATCTTCCTAAATGAGGCCCATTCTGTAGTCTGGTCCACTGCTCCCCCTCCCAGGACCCCAGGAGTGACCCCAGGCCAGGGATTTGCAACATGGACATCCTGCTTAGTATGGAGGGACCAGCACCATGACATCTGCTTCATCTCCAGGGAGCCAAGCTGGAGCCTAGCTGCCTACACTTTGCTAGGGCCCCCCCTCTCACCGTTCCTACTGCCCCTCCCATGAGGACTTGCTGGCTGTTGCCCGGCGGGCTGCCCAGTCCCAGGACTGCCCTTTATACTCACTCACAGGGCTGGTGAGCAGGGCCTGAGCCCTGAGCTCTAGAGTTGTTGGACCAGCCATGCCTGGGTTCTGGGTTTATGGCCCATCATCCCCATCCCACCCACCTTGTATTCCAGTCGGGCCTCTGCAGCCCCTCCATTCAATGCCTCTTCTCCAGGGAGCACACCCTGATTGGAAGGACTGTCACCCTACCCATCCCTGCCCACGTGCATGGCACATCCAGCCAGGCCGAGGCCGTCTGCAGCTGCACCTACCTTCCACCACAGCCACGTGCTCCCGGCGGCGTTCCCTGGCCTGCAGGGTAGGGCCTTGCAGGCACAGCTGCACGCCGTCGCGTGCGGAGCCCAGCCGGTTCACCAGCTGCGGGACAGACACAGACGGCAAAGGCCACTGAGAATCCAGGGAGGCTGACTCGCCCCTTTGGTGAGTAAGGACTGGCTAGACTCAGTAGAGGTGTCGAACTCAATCAGAGAAGGGGCCAAAATCTAAAATCCAGCCTAAATCGCGGGCCGAATGGTTTACTGAACAGTCATAAACTGTCATTGTGATGGAAACGCAGCGGAGTGCAGTGATGACAGCGCGGTGCGGGCCACATTGCAAGGCCTGGCGGGACGGATTTGGCCCGCGGGCCTTGTGTTTGACACATGTGGGCTAGAGCATGAGGCCGAATGGAACTTACAGGGCCCAAGCGGACTCGAGACCTGACATGGAGGGCAGACTCCTCCTGGCCCACCCCAGGCTGCTAGCGGCAGTATCAGGGAGGAGGCTGGCCCCAGACAGACACAGCCCGCACACCCTGTCCCTGGACCATGAAGGGCAGGACAGACGCTGCCCAGAGCCCCGCTTATGGAGTCCTGTTAGCTCATCCTCAATGGGGTGGAAGTTGCCTGGTTTCCCTCCTGTAATGATGAGTGATGTGCGACAGTGGCCTGGTGTTCCCTCTCAGAAGGTGAGTGAAAGTCTGTCTGGTATCTCCTCTCTCACCACGGTGGTGGGAGACACTTTCATGGCGCCCTGTCTCAGAATGGACTTTGGTAAGTCTGTTGTACAATCTCTCATCATGAATGGTAGGTGACAGCAAGCCTGTGTCCCCTCCCTCATCATGGATCATGGATGGTGGTGGCAGTGGACCTGACAGCTTCTGTCTCATCCGTGGATGTGGATGACAGTGGACTCGGTGTTCCACCATGGACCCTGTGGGACCTGAACCTGGTGTCCACCCTACAACATGTGTTACCGATGGCGATGACAAGGTTGTGGCCCCATGGCAAGCCCCCCCACCACTTCCCTTCATCCTCCCTCCTCACCTCACACTCATAATGGCCAAGGTCCTCCTTGCTGGCCTCCCGGATCTCCAGCACCAGCAGGCCACTGCGTGGCTCACTCAGGGTCCGGTACTTGCCACCAGAGGTCAGGAGGACCCCATCCTTGTACCACCTGAAGCCAGCAGCCCCAGGAGTCAGTAGGGCCTTTCCAGCCCCCAGGGCTCATGACCCACCTCACCCATCCCTGGTGTCCTTACGGCGCCCAGCCTTTTGGATGCCATCTGCCCAACATCCAGCCTGGCAGTGCCCTCCTTGCTGCAGCGAGGGCTGTGTCAGACAGGCCACGCCCCCAAGACACCCACTTCTCACCCACATGGCTGAGCTTCTGTCTAGTTGACCCAAACCCAGTGAACATGCTGCCCACCCTCGATTTACAGGCAGAAGTGGAGGCCCTGGGGCAGACCCACCCCCCTTGTCCACCTAACCCACCTGATCTGAGGGTGTGGGGCCCCTTCGATGGTGCAGGTGACCTGGGTGTCCTCTCCTTCCACGAAAGGCACTGCCCGGACCTTGTTCACAAACCTCGGGGGGACTGTGGGGCCGCAGGGTTGGGAGGAGAAAGGGAGGGAGGGAGGAAGAGAGGGAGGGAAGGAGATGAAAAGAAACAGAGATAGGTAAAGAGATACACAGAGAGATAGATTGAGAGACACAGAAAGACAGAGGAAGGAAGAGATAGAGAGACAGAGAGAAAGTATGGAGAGAGAGAGACACAGAGAGGAACACAGAGACAAAGAGAAAAGGCATAATGTGCAGGACCCCACCCAGACCAAGGGGCCCCCAGACTTGGGTCAGACATCCACAACCACCCTCAGCTCATCCGAAGGCCTGCACGGCCGTGGGGACTGCTGTGGTGGGTGTGGTCTGGGTGCCCATCTATCCTCCCTCCCAGGCTCACCCTGCACCAGGATCTTGCCCAGGGTGCTGGCATTGCCGGCAGCGCTGGCCGCAAAACACATGTACTGGCCGGAGTCCGCACTGGTCAGATTGTCCAGGATGAGCGTGCACGAGCCATCGGGGTCTTCAATGAGGATGTGGTGAGGGTCCACGTCCACTGGCTTTCCATCTGGAAAGGAGGGAGGCCGGGCTTGCCTGGGGTCATGGTCACAGGCAGTGAGGGTTAGGGGGTGGTCCTGAAGCATAGGGGCCAGGTGCAGCTCCCTGGATACGTCCCCAGGCCTTCGTGTGCACAGTGTGGCCTTTGGAGGGTGGGCTCTTATCTGGAGGCAAGAGCAGGCTGGGGGCCTGAACCCCATTCCGATAAGCAGACCCTGAGCCGCCTTGCCAGTGATTCTGTGACCTCCAGGCACCTCCAAGGCGCAGACCTCCCCAACGGCAACAGACACGCTGTCTGAATACCCGCCCAAACTAATGTCTCCAGCCATCATGTGAGTCCTTCCTGAGTGAGGGGTGGGGAGAGGTGCACCTTTCACTCCGGAGAACTCTTTCCTCCATAAATAAGTGAAATCCCACAAACAAACACTTCCCCATAGCTCTGTGTGTGCTAAACAATGTGGTTTAAATTACAACCGTTCGTAACCAGAATCGTGACCTTTAATTCACAGGAAACCAAATGATTTTAACGCAAACAAGACGAAGCCTCCAGCTGCCACCCCATTCCTCTTCCTCCCCTCTACTGAGTTCCAGGACAGTTGTTCTCACTCCAGTGCTTCCTTCTCACCGCCCCCCAACGTGCGCGCCCCCACCCTTTCATCTCCCCCAGAACAGCTCTCTGCCAGGCTGCTGGTGACATCATCAACCCAGTGCCTCCTCAGTCCTTGTCCTTCTGTCCAGGCCTTTCTAGCATCCCACGAGGCCCACCGCTGTGCAGACATGCCGCCAGCTGAGACACCTGGGCTGCCCAGGGCACAGAAACAGAACCTCTCCTCACCCCGCCCCCCCCCCCCCGCCCGCACCCCTGCCCCCACCCCTACCCCCAAAGCATTTCTCTCTCTGGGAAATGGACGGACAGATGGGTCAGCAGCCCCACAAAAGCTCAGCACCACCCTGACCAGTTTGGCTCAGTGGATAGAGCCTGCGGACTGAAAGGTCCCAGGTTCGATTGCAGTCAAGGTTATGTACCTTGGTTGTGGACACATCCCCAGTGGAGACTGTGCAGGAGGCAGCTGATTGATGTTTCTCTCTCATCGATGTTTCTAAAATTTTCTATCCCTCTCCCTTCCTCACTGTAAAAAGAAATCAATAAAATATATTGAAAAAACCAAACTCAGCACCTTCTAAATCTTGGGATCTCTCTTGTGGTGCAAACCACTGTGCACATCTATCATCTGGCCCTGGGCATGGGGATCAGGGCAACTGGCCCAAAGCTCTGTGCTTTTCTGTGACCAGCAGTCTCTATCTCTGACCGGGTTTTGTGTCTGTCTGGCTGGGAGGCAGGAAATCATCTCAGATTCTTCATGGCTTCTGATGTTCAGTTTGGTGACAAACAAGGGACATAGTCAGAGACATCTCATTCCAGCAGAGAAAGAAGGTGGCCAGTCCAGGGCCAGAGGGAGGTCCATGCCAACCAACCTATGTGGTCAGCTGAGCAGGCTCAGACCTCTCCACCTGCTGCCTGGGAACGGAGAGGGGCTGGACAAGGGCTGCAGTCTAGGCGCCCAGAGGGAGGCTCCGAGCAGATTGCTGGTTGGGGCCTTGATCGACACGCTCTCTCAGGCGCTGTTGGTGCAGCCTCAGGTCACCCTGCTTCTCGATGTGTGGACAGAGCTGGCCCTGATGTAGCTAATCTGCCACCTTGACTCCCGGCCCCGCCCCTGGAAACGCTGTGCTCTGCCTCTGGAGTGATTCGCCCTGGACCTGTCTGTCTCTTGACCAGCTCTGATGCCAGACCCCCTGGGCACCTGGCAGGCCCCGTCCCTTTAGATTAACATGTCTTTCCCACGATACCCTCTCACTGGCTACAAAACGGTCTGGGAGGCAAAGCGGGGAGATCTGTATGTAAGCCTCCTGTTAACCTCACTAACCGACCAGCTGGACTTGTCTGCCTCGTTCTTTGGTGTGTTGGCTCCCTCAGCATTAGGGGAGAGCTTTGCATGCACAGCCCTCTTCTGAAACATCAACAAGTGCTACCATCATCAACCCCGATGGGCAGAGGACAGGTACGAGTGAGAATTCTGGGTATGAGGACAGGCACCTGAACAGAAAATGTTCCACAGGGAGCCACTGATGGCTGGCACACGGCTCGTGGCACCTGGGTGGCATCTAAAATGCTGGTGACGGCTGGAAGAGGTGGCCTGGGGGCATGTTGTCTGATAGGTGGCCCTGCCACCTCAGAAATCTTTTTTTTTTTTTAATATATTTTATTGACTTTTTACAGAGAGGAAGAGAGAGGGATAGAAAGTTAGAAACATCAACGAGAGAGAAACATCGACCAGCTGTCTCCTGCACACCCCCTACTGGGGATGTGCCAGCAATCAAGGTATATGCCTTTGACCGGAATCAAACCTGAGACCTTTCAGTCCGCAGGCTGACGCTCTATCCACTGAGCCAAACCGGTTTCGGCCACCTCAGAAATCTTGTCCAGCCATCACAGAAAGGCTAGGGATGGACAACCCATAATAAAGGTCAACCTGCTAAGTGGACAGCATAAAGGTCACTACCAACAAGTTAAACCGCAGTGAGCGGAAGGGCGTGGAACCCAGAGAGCGATGACGCAGCTGTTCAGACAAGGGGTCCCAGGGCTGAAATGGATACATCAGCAGAGACGGTCATGCTGCCAAGGTTAGGGTTTGGGCGAGCCCAAAGCACTGGATGTCACTGAACTGTGGAAGTGCGTCTTGATCCCTGGCCCCTTCCTCTCCTCCACCCACCACCACTGCTTTAAGAGAACGATGATCAGGCGTGGTGGGCAGCAGCCTCTCTGGTCCTACGTGCTCGTCCTACATGCTGGGGCCTCAGGCAGGGGGAGAACTCAGACCTTCAAAGGTCTTCCGATACAGGCACTTGGACTCCACGGATGGAGTCTTCACAAGGTTCATGGTTATCCGGGAAGATAGTGTCCGGGGACTGTGGCTGTGGCTCCTACCTCTAGACCCTGATGTTTGCTGTGTTTGGGGGGGAGGAGCACATTGAGAGGTGGTCCTGGAGCACGGAACCGCTTCAGCCCCGCAGTCAGTCCCTTCCCAGCTTGAAGCTTAGAGCCCCACGGAGAAAGGAGGTTCGGGGCCTCCTGTGTGATGTGAAGGTAGCTGGGTGACGGAAGAGGCTGCGTCCCAAATCAACAGCCTTGAACAGCCAGAGGGAGTGGACCGTCACAGCCCGATCCAGCCTCTACTCCCGTGGCTCCAGCTGGGGTAGGCAGGGTGGCTGCAGCAGGTCTGCTGTGCATTCTCATGGCCAGTGCTCTCTGCTCCCGGCAGCTGCCCCAGGTGGGTCAGGACTTGATCCTCTGCCCCCAACACTCAGCTCCTGCTGTGTGAGGACATGCTGTCTGCTGGCGAGTCTGACTTCTGCCCGATGCTGCTCTTCCCGGCCAAGGTTGTTATGTGCTTGAGCAGTTGCAAGTGGCTTGGCTGTTTGTTTTGCCACTTAAAACACAGTGGCCTGGCAGAAGACACCCCCACCTTGGGCTGTGAGCCACAGAGGCAAAGAGAGGCTGCTGATGGGCTCCAACCCAGCACCAGGGTTCTGCAGGGAGCTGCCCTGGGGTGCAGGGCACTGACCCCACTGCAGCCACACAGAGGACTGCTGAGAAATGCTCTAGTCCGGGTGGGGGCACATCACACGAGCGGACCCCTATCCTGGCAAGTCAGCGCCTCAAGGGCTATCTGAGGTGTTTCCTGTCATGATGCTGTTTCAGGTCAGCCAACCGCTGGCTCTGGCCACACCCCATGGGTGCATGCGCCACCCAGACCACCTGCAGTTTGACCATCATGTCGGTGTGAGCTGTCCGTCCAGCTTCCCCTCACGTCTTGCACTCACTGGACCCAATGTCCCCAGTCGGCCCATCCCCTCCAGGGTCTCACTGGGTAAGCGCCAGGGTGAAAGAGAGAGGCGCAGTTAAGAACCCAGGGTCCCACCCTGACCGCAGGGTGAGGTACGCCCTAATCCCCTCGGATGTGGCAGGCCAGCACATGCGCCTGAGGACAATCTGGCCAAAAGGAGGACCTGAGGAAGGCTGAGTCATGTCTGGAGGGCCTGAGCCTGCCCTTCAGGGAAAGGTCTGGGTGCAGAGGGACAATGGAAGGGAGCTGTACAGGTTCTGTGCAGGGCAAGGTGTCTGGGAGGGGACCTTGTGGATCCCAGGACGTGGGCCAGCAGGCCTCCTTTCAGAAAGAAGATCCCGGGAACCAATTGGCATGGGAACCAGCTGCTGCATCCCCAGGTCTGCCATGCAGCTCTGACCGAGGGCACAGGGAGGCCCCTCCTGCACATCTCCACAAAGCGCCCCTTGTGTGTCCTCTCCAGCCCCATCCTTAGCCCTTCAAGGGCAGACAAACGCCCCTGGCTAGGGGTGGACGAGTAGGACAAGAAGGACCGACAGCCCTGGAATAAATCCTCCGAAACCAGGACTGGACTTGGTTATTTACCCTGGACTAGGGTCTCAGAGGACTGCCTGCCGGTCCAGAGGAGGCTTATCTGCCCACCCAGGGGACCTCTGACAAGAGATCCCGCTTTCCCTGGGGCCCTGGACCGCTCTGAATGGCCTGTGCCACACTGTGGTTGAGCGTGGGGGCTCTGGAACACGCAGCGTCGGCCTGACCCCTGGAGGGGCTGTGACTGAGGTCAGCCGTGCAGCAGTGGGTCTTGACAACATGAACGACCCCCAACAGAAAGCCGGGACACCAAGGCGTGATGAGAGCCCCTAGCTGGCCACTCTCCCTGAGCTGTCCAACACCAGAGCGGGGAGAACAGGCACTGTCTGCCCAACCCACCTGCACCTGGCCACACCCTCCCCCTTTTCACAGCAATAACTGGAACCTCAGTGGAAGGGCTCCGCTGAGTTCTGTGAATCACTGAACCTCACAGGAGTTGTGGGACCCGGGACCTTGCCGTCAGAGTGAGGGTGTCCCGGGGATCCCTGAACTCTGCAGCTCCCATCACTCAGTCAAATGTGAGGCCCCACGGCTGCCCACGTTTCCCGCTGTTCTGCCGCGGCGCCCCCTCTCCCTGGCCTTCTGGCCACCTCACTGCTCTTCGGAAGCCTCCAGCAGGTGTGCCGGCTGTGCCTTGTTCTGACTTCCCGTCACACCTTTGTCTGTCTGCTGCCGCCGGTCCACTCCCCTAGAGAGGGTTGATGCACACCCTCTCCTTCATCCCACCTCATGCTGTCTTTGATTTGGGAGCAGGCAACTGGGGCAGGAGCACCCAGCCTGTCCCTGGCCCCCAGCCCCTGGCCAGGCCCCACCCTGGTCCTGGTCCCCACCGAGCCTGATTCCTCCCGGGCGGCTCTGCCTTGTGGCAAGGCCAGCACCCTGAGCCCATGGGGACCTACCTTTGTACCAGCTGACGATGGGCTTGGGCGTGCCCGTCACACGGCAGGCCAGCTTGACGGTTTCACCCAGCTCGGCTGTGCAGTCGGCCAGCTCTTCCTCGAAATCCGGGGGCCCTGGGGACACACACCACACACCTGGGCCGAGTGCTACCCCGGCCTCGGTGCACCCTGGTAGGGCCAGGGGTCCAGGGCCAAGCAGTGTGGGTGCTGCAGTCACCACCCCTTTGGAGCCCTCACTGGGCCCGAGTGGGAATCTGAGTCAGCGTCAGGCTGGGTGCAGTGGGGAGTGGAGGGGAGTGTGGACAGGAGAGTGTGCTCTAGATGGGAAAGGAGACCCAGGGATCAGACCTTCACACCCCTAACCCCTCTGGGCTTCTCTGCTGTGCTGAGGGCCCCACTCGGGTCATAGCCATCCCAGCACCCCAGCGCAGGCTGGACTGATTGAGGGGTGCTGCACAGGCAGGGGCAGGGGCCCGGGTGTCCCCGAGCCAGACGGCCTGGCTGGCAGGTTTGATCCCCCATCCAACCTCACCGCTGGGACCAGCACTCACGCCAGACGGGGAGGGCCAGGCGCTGCTGGATGCCGCAGATCTCCTTCACCCACGCGTTCTTGGTGATGACAGTCCGGGCCTGCAGGAGGTACTTGCGCACCGAGTCCTCCCGCTCGTGCCACACCTCGAAGGCGCGGTCATCCCCCTCCACCTGCTCGTTCAGGTCGATGCTGCTCAGCTGTGAGGGGAGGAAGCAGGCTCACTGCCCGGGACGTGGCCAGAGGACCCACCCAGGGCTCCTCCTGCCCACCCTGCAGGGCGCCCCCCACCCCCCCAGGCTCCTCTGTGCCTGCACACCTTCATCATGTTCCGGAACACGTAGCTGAAGGTGTCGGTGTGGGAGTCCCTCTTGGGCTTGCAGACCACCAGGTGGTTGCGGAACAGGAAGACGTGGCGGTGGTGGCCCTTCCAGGGCATCCGTGCGCCCGGTGCCCCCTCCCACACGATGAAGTGGCCCTGGGAGAGGGGTCAGGTCTCGGTCAGCCTGAGGCACAGCGCCCCCCCCCCCCACCCCGTCCTCTCTGCGTGGCGCCCTCCGCAGACCTGGCGAATGGGCTCGCCCAGGGCCTCCAGGGTGCCCGGGTAGTTCTCCATGAGCGACACGTGCAGCTGGTTCTCGGCCCGCTGCGGCAGGGCGGACACCACGGCGTAGGCCTGCTCCAGCAGCGCGCAGTTCTGCCGGTTCCGCGCCTTGTTGCGGATCAGCTCCTGCAGAGAGGCCCCGTCAGGTGCCCGCCAGCCCGGGACAGGACGGGGCGCGGTGGTGTGGGCGAGGGGCCGGGCCCACCTTGAGCAGAGCCTGGTACTGCTGCACCCGCTGCACCGGCTGCTCCAGGAAGTGCTGCAGCGGCGGCGGGGGCGGCTGCGAGGGGTCCGTGGCCGACAGCACCTCCTCCGAGTATTTCTGGGGGAACCGCAGAGCGGTTTCAGGGCAGGAGGGCACCTCACCTCCCTCCCCCCACGGGCGGCGGCCGATCGCTGACAGGTGAGAACTGCAGGGCTCTGCCTGTTTTGCTCACAAGCCAGGGCCCCAGGGCCTGGGCCGGCTGTGGGGCCCCGGCAGGAGGTGGGAGGCCGGCAGGGTCAGGGAAGGTGACCTTGGAGACGGAGTGGGGGGGCGCGCAGCACTGGCTGGGGGAGGGCACCTTGTAGAACTCCTGCACGGCCGTGCTGACCACCACCGACTCGGCCTGCACCCGGCCCACCAGGAACTCCAGATACTTCTCGAAGGCCTCCTGGTTCTTGAGGAAGCACATGGCCACGTCGTCATCTGTCTCGCAGCTCTGCAGCTCCTGCAGGAAGCTGGCGTGGAGGCGACAACATCAGGACCCTGCTCACTGCCCCTGCCAGCCCGTCCCAGGTTTGGGGAGAAACAGGCAGAGTCCTGGGAACAGGCTGGGCTGTGAGGACATGTGTGTGTGGTGTTTTAGGGTGTGCACATGTGTGTGCATGCATGTAACAAGTGCATGTACATTGGGGCATATATATGTAAGCATGTGTGCACAAGTAAACAGGTGCACACATGTAGTGCCTGTGCATTGTCTGCTGTATATGTTGTGTGGCTGTGCACATGTACCCATGTGCCCAATGTAAGCCATTCCCATGCATGTAATGGCATGTGTGCCTATATACAGAGGCTGCAGCAGATAGGAGTGCTGGGTAAGCAGGTGCACACGCCTATGTTCCAGAGGATGTGTGTATCTGTGTACATGGGTGTGGTGTGCCAACAAGTGCATCAAGTGCGCAGTTTCTCTCCCGCCTGTCTTGGCTCCTGCTAAGCCTTGGAGGCCCAGCCTGAGGGTACATTCGCACGTGTGTGGTATGTCTGCATGTGTGTGCATGTGTCTGCACACACAGGCCCGCTTACCTGTTGTGGAACTGGCCGAGGTCCTGCACGTTGCGGAAGATGACGGCCTTCTGGCTGGCCACCGCGGCCGGCACGTGGGGGCAGTGGTCCAGGTGCTGCATGTGGTGGCTCTGCAGGAACTGCAGCTTGCCCACGAAGGCCTGCTCAGAGCTCAGCAGCTCCTGGACGATGGAGCTGGAGGCAGGGTGAGGGGACCAAGGGCTCAAATGCTGAACAGGCACCAGCCAGACGCTGGAGGGGGCAGCCCCACCACACAACCTCGTCAACCAAAGATCCCCCGCCATGCTCCTCACCTCAACCGCATCCTGTACTCATCCTCAGACACGGCCTCCCTAGGGAACTCGGGGGCCTCTGTGGGCCCCCACTCGGGAGACAGCTGATGAGGCACAGAGAGGGTTGGTGGTGGCCTGGGCGCTGGCCCGGCCCCCAAACTCACCTGCCCCCTCCCAGGCCGCCCAGGTACCTTGAGCCGCCTGTCCAGATAGGCGGGGGACACCCAGCCCTGCCTCGAGGGGCTGGACTTGGTGGGCTTGGTCCGCACCAGCCAGCGCAGAGGGTGGGCCGAGTCCAGCACCTCCACGTACTGGCCCTCCCGCAGCGAGATGGCGTCCTGCTCGGCCCCCAGGGGCAGGTAGTCGGCGGTGACCACGTAGATGTCAAAGATCTGGGGAGGAGGGCGCTGCGTCAGGCCAGAGGGCAGCCAGCCGCAGGGCTTCCCAAGGCCCCTGCCACAGGGCCCGGGCCCGAAGCGGGGAGGAGAAGCCATCCTAACATTCTGTGACGTCGTAGGACAGGCCCCACTGAGCTCCGCTGACGGCAACGCTATCAGGGGTGCCCGATGGGGCCACCCAGAGGGGCAAGTGGGAGCCTCAGGGCTGCTGGGATGTCCTGGGTCCTGGTGGTGATGGTGGCTGCTCAGCTGTTTGTCCTCAGCTTCCTCCACCCTGTCACCCAAAGGCCCCCGTTCCCTCTCCCACCCTCACTCCTGTTCCCCTCCATGGGCCCCATTACCCCCCAGTCCCCAGCACCTCCCCCCGGGAGTCTCCATCTTCCGACTCCGAGGACGACTCCTGGACGCTGGAGGAGGGGCGAGAGCGGCCATGACGGGGAGAGGCAGACGGTGTCTTGGACTCCTCGTCACTGTCACCTCCAGGCACCTGTAGCTTGGCTGGGGGCACAGGGCATGTGACACTGGGAAGGGCCAGTGCCCTGTGCCCCTCCCCATGGGTCTGGCCTGGTGGACCCTGGCCCTGGGTCACCACCCCCATTATCCCCCACCTAGGATATTGATCCATGCCAGCCCCTCACCCTGGGTGATCTTGGCCGACACCATCTCCGTGATCTGTGAGGTCAGCTTCTGCAGGAACTCCTCCGTGCCCACCTCAGCCAGGGTCAGGTGGCCATGGGCCTCGGCTGCCAGCGGCTCTCCTGGTGGTCAGACCCTCGCTGAGCCAGTGTGCACTCCAGACAGGCCCACGCACCCCCTCCAGGCCCCTCCTGACTCAGGGCTCAGGGAGACGGGTACACACAGGCTTGGGCCTATGCTGCCAGAAGCAGGGACACTGACAAGGATATGGGGCCTCAATGGCTCACAGGTGTCTGGGCCAAGGTGTGATGGAGGAAGCTACAATTGCAGGGAATTGGGCCCAGGAGAGGGGCGGGGGGCGGTTAGGAGAATGAGCAGCCAGCATGGCTGCAGGGCACTGGGCAAGGGCAGCTGAGGGTCAAGCTGGGTAGAGTCCAGGGTGGGGGAGGAGCTTGAAGACACTGGAGCCCCAGTGGGTTGTGCTTTCTCCATTGGGGTTCCAACTTGGCGGCTGACCTGGGGAGGGGTTCAGGAGGGGCAGAGGGCCCTGGGAGCTCAGCCAGGCTGTGGGAGAGGGGGGCGGGGCCTGGACCCTGAAGGCAGGGGGCAGGACCCAGATTGCTGGCCTGAGGGCTGGGGGGCAAACTTCGGTGGCTGGGGTTAAGGGTGAATGAGGGCCACTGGGGGTTGGGGGCAGGTAAAGGCAGTAGCTGTAGATCATCCAACAAGTGACCCTAAGGTGGGCAATGGGCACACGGCTCTGTCCTCTCTTCTGTGCAGACTCGGTATTTTCCATAAAGAAGGTAAAAACATGCCGAGGTTCCAGAATGCCCTGAGCAGTTGCCTGGGAAGGGGCTGAACATACGGGGCCCCTCACCCGAGCTCTGAGTCTGCAGCCCCCTGCACCCGGGCATCCACACAGCCTCTGGCTGAGAGAGCTGAGCCAGGGGCTGGCAGGGCACAGAGCTCAGAATCTGAGGCCCAGGCCTGGGGCCAGGCAGCCTCTGCCACACCCCCTCCCAAATTAGGGACCGGCCATTAGCACCGCCCATACCTTTCTGCCCAGCCAGGCTGCTGAAATCCACAGGCATCTGTTCCGAGATGGCTTTGGTCCTGGGGGGGTGCGGGGGGAGGAACCCTGAGGGCCTGGGGTGGGCCCACCACACGTACCCTTGGGTGGGAGCTCTGACAGAAAGAGTCTGTGGCCCGGATGCCAGTCAGGCTCAGGGGAGCCCTCATTTCACAATGGGGAAACTGAGGCACAGCAAGGTGGTTTTTTTGTTTGTTTTTTGTTTGTTTTTTTGGCAGAGGTAGAGGGTGGGGAGGTGGACAGCTTGCAAGGGACAGAGATAGGACTCCCTCCCTGGCAGCAGTGCTGCCCCCTCCCAGGGCTTCTAGAACCCCAAGCCACCCCCGTCAGCTCTGGCAGAGCCCTCACTCACCCCTGAAGAAAGGTAGAGATGAGGGCCTCCTTCACCTCTCCCACTGGTCCCACCTCCTTGGGCACTGTCAGAAGCACAGGTGATGCCAGAATGACCCCAACCGCTGAGATGATTCTGGTGGGGACCTCTGCCTGGCATGTCTGGGCCACCCCTACCTAGGGCTTTGGCCTGTTGGCCCAGAGCCCCCAGGAAAGGCTGTGCCCGGAATCCCAACGTAGCCCCCCCCCCCCGCCCCCCCAGTGGTGGGGACAGGAATGGGTCCACACTTGATGGGCCTGCCCACAGAGGGCTGAGGGGCCAGGAAGGGACTGCTTGCGGTGGCAGGGGCTGGTCTGAGCCCACAGGCAGGATGGGAGCTGGCCCCTGGGGCCTGTGCTCAGGGAGGGTCTGGGCAGGGTCTCAGAGGGGGGATGAAAGTCCTCAGAGAGGATGGCTCCCTCCCATCCCCAACAGGCCGCCCACGCCCACTCACAGCCAGAGACATGCAGGCTGGCGGAGCAGAGGGCCTGGCCGGCAGCGTTGGACGCGATGCAGGTGTAGGTGCCCTGGTGCTGTGCGCCCACGTCCAGCAGGACCAGGCTGTGCTGCTGTGCTGAGCTGGCCACCGTGTAGCCCGGGGTGTCCTGGCCGATCCACAGCACCTGCTCCGCCTCCTCCCGCAGCCAGTGCACCGTGGGGGCGGGGAGCCCTGGGCAGGAGTGGATGATGGACCGTCAGCCCCCATGAGGAGAGAATCTAGAAGGGGGTGTCTCTGAGGGAGGGAGGGAGGGCAGGATGCCCCACCTTTGACCTTCACAGAGAAGGTAATGCTGGAGCCCTTCTTCACCTTCTTAGAGGTGAACTTCTCCAGGAAGCGGGGTGGCACCAGCTGCTGCTGCACATCTGGGGGGACACCGGAGGCTGCTGGTGACAAGTGCAGGCCCACAGCCCTAGGACGGGTAGCCTCTGCCCCCCCTCCCAGGCCCAAGTCCTCACCCCCCCGAGTCACTGTCCCTAGAGCCTGTGACCAGGGATCCTTCCTATCCTCCATCGATGGGCATCCCCCCTCACTGAGCCTCCTGGCCTCCCGCCATCCGGACTGGGCTCACCTGCTGCCGCCGGCTTCTTTTCTGGGTCATTAGGGCCTGAAAGAGGAGGGAAGTCAGACCTGAAGTAGGACAGTGTGTCCTGCCTGGGCCCCGGGGCCTGCTCCAAGGGTGCAGGACACCCTCCCACTCCCACACCCAGCACCTTCTGGCATGCAGGCAGGCAGGTGTCTGCCCTCCACCACACCTCTGCCCCTGGGGGAAGGCCGTGGGCCCAATCCCAGGCCTGCCATGGGGGGTCCTATAGGCGGACATCGGCCCCCAGCTCCCACCTTGGACCAGCAGCTGGGCAGAGGAGTAGGCGGCGCCCACGGAGTTGCTGATGTAGGCGGAGTACTGGCCGGCATCCTCGCTGGTGACCGAGAGGATCTCCAGGCTGTGCAGCGTCTTCTTGTTCACCATGCGGATGTGCGCAGAAGCAGTCAGGGGCTGCCCATCTTTGAACCAGTACAGGCGGGGCGCCGGGTAGCCTGACACCACAGGGAGAGTGGTCAGCATGGGGCCACTGCCCAGGGGGTGCTGTGTCCTCCACCTGAGGGGATCCCTGGAGGCCCCCCAGGCCACAGTGACCACCTAACGTCTAGCAGTGGAAGGCCCCACCCAGCCCTCCGGCCCTATCTCCCTCACCTTTCACCTTGAGCTGGAACTTGGCCAGGCGTGTGCCGGGGGCCACCTGGAGGTCTTTCAGCTCCTCCACCACCTGGGGCAATTGTCCCTCTTCCGACGTAGACTCTGCACCCTCCTGCTCGCGACTGGCAGGGAACAGAGAGGGGCAGCGTGATGTGGATGGGTGAGGGGTCCAAGGGGAGTAAGGTCAGTCTGGATGGCTCCTGAGGCTCTCTATTAATATGCTGGACAGAGACCACATGGCCTTGGTGGAGCTTCCAGGACTGGGATTCTGTCAGGCCAAGCCAGCACGGCCACCCCCATGCCAGCCTGCTGGGCACTGCCACCCCTGTATGGCCCCCACCTGGACTGGTAGCCTTGGGCGCTGAAGTAGGACGAGGTCTCGGTGGCATCCGCAGCAGTGTCATAGTCAGTGCTGGTCACTGGGAATAAAGGGTGAAGCTGGAGCCAGGCTGCATTTCCCCTGTCCGGACACATCCCCCCTCCCCCACAAGAGACACCTGGTTCTCCCTGCACAGCTGTTCCTGGAGCCACTTACCCTCCTGAGTCAGAAGTCATAGGGACACAGCCGCCCTGTGGTCCCTCCCTGCCCCCAGGCTGTTACCAGCCCAAGTTCTAGGCCTGTAACTAACTACAAGACCCAACAAATTATAGACATGGGTGACCCTGAGCTTCACCAATGGCAGACAGGGTAAGTGGCAACATCTTCCAATTCCATCCCACTAAGGGGCAGGGATTGGATATCTGGGCCTCAGATGGGGGCTTCCACTTGTAGCCATGATGGTGTAACTTGGACTGGATCTGCCCTCTGCCATAGACAGGATGTTTGTATGCCCCCAAAATTCATATACTGAAATCTAACCTCCAAGGTGATGGCATTCGGATGTGGGACCTTTGGGGGATGACAAGGTCATGAGGGTGGGGCCATTAGAAATGGGGTTAGTGCCCTTATAAAAGGGACCCCACAACACTCCTTCCACCATGCGAGGACACAGCCAGGAGGGCCATCTATGACGCAGAAGAAGCCAACTGTGCTGGCACCTGCCCTTGGACTTCCAGCCTCCAAAACACAAAAATACATTTCTGTTGTTCATAAGCCACCCTGTCTTGGGTACTTTGTTAGAGCAGCATGAACTAAGACACCGTCGGTTGAAACAAAATACATGAAACAATGGTCGTAATGTTATGATTTATAGTAAGTAATACCTATTTTGTTTTGTACCATTCCTGGCACAGAGCTCTTAAAACCCTTGGAGTTTCCCTCAAACTCCTAACAAGCCCCTGTCAAGCACAGCTGAGTTTATGTTAATAATGTTACTTTTGGATAGCCCCTAAGACGGGGCTGGTTGCCAGGACAAGCAGCCATGTGATGAGAGGGTTGGAAGTTTCAGTCCCTCGAGGGAAGGCAGAGGGGCTGGAGGTTGAATCAATCATGCCTGTGTGATGGAGCCTCCAGGAACACCCAAAAGGACTGGAGTTTGGAGAGCTTCCCAGTTGGTGGAGCTGCAGGGAGAGTGCTGGGCTCAGAGAGCATGCAAGCCCTCCCCCTCCCCCATCCGGGTCCTGTGCATCTCTTCCACCTGGTAGTTCCTGCATTATAATTTTTACATTAAGACAGTGACCTCGAAAGTAAATGTTTCTCTGAGTTCTGTGAGCCACTCGAGCAAATTAATGGAACCTGAGGAGATGGCTGTGAGAACTCTGATACACAGACGCACGGGTGACAACTTGGACTTACCATTGGCATCTGAACCCTTTCACTCTAGTGGTCCTGAGCCTTTAATCTGTGGGGTCTGACGCTATCTTCAAGTAGATAATGTCAAACTGAGTTAAACTGTAATACACCCAGCTGGTGTGAGAGCATTGTTTGGAATTGGGTACTGAATCATCAGAATGGTTTCAGCAAGGACACTGACCCCTTATAGGCAGTAAACAATGGTGAGCCTCATGATTCCCCAGCATCTTGCTTTCAGGCCCAGAAGAGGAAGCTGAGGCAGAGCCAGGCAGGCTCTGAGTTGAGGAGACAGAGGCAGCTGGAGTCACAGGCCAGAAAACAGAGAAGAGGGATCCCTCCCTCGGGGATTAAGCAGATGACTGATCAGCACGTGCATGTGAGGGAAGAGCCATCTGAGATGCTGGAGGAAACAATGCTGGAGGGCACAAGGTCTGGGGTGCTCCTATTTCCACAGCCAGACTGGACACCCACCCCTCAGGCATCTGGAAGGTGCCCAGGAGCGTTCTCTCTTCCATAGGAAGAGAATTAGCCCTGTGTGAGCGCTGCCTTGGCCTCATCTAACAAACCACACACCAAACAACCAACGTGCTTCCAGAGAAGCCGTGTTTTCCACAACAGAGCTCCAGGAGACCTGGAGGAATGCACAACATCCAGCTCCCCGCAGAGCAAGACTCGGTGTCAGGCACCCAGTCAGAAGGCTACAGACATGCAAGGAGGCAGGAACACAGGACCCTTGATGTGGAGCATGATCAGTCAGAACTGACATGACATGAGAACTGCCAGAGAAGGACATGCAGGTATCAGAACTGTATTCTCTGTGTTCGAAAAGTCAAGTAGACTTTTAGATAAAGAAGAGTCAGGTAGAATTTCTGGAGACAAAAAGTACAGTAGGTGACACTAACAGCAGATTAGATACTAAGAGCAGTGACTGCATAGGCTTAGCAATAGAAAAATCCAACTGACATGCACAGAGAAAATATAGTTTTAAAAACTTAAGAGTATGGCCGAAACCGGTTTGGCTCAGTGGTAGAGCGTCGGTCTGCGGTTCGATTCTGATCAAGGGCATGTACCTTGGTTGCGGGCACATCCCCAGTAGGGGGTGTGCAAGAGGCAGCTGGTCAATGTTTCTCTCTCATCGACGTTTCTATCTCTCTATCTCTCTTTCTTCCTCTCTGTAAAAAATCAATAAAATATATTTAAAAACAAAACAAAAAAACCACTTAAGAGTATCAATCAACTGAAGTCACCAAATTAGGAGAAGGAATAAATATTTGAAGAAATAATGGCAAAAAAATCCAAACTTATTGAAAATTATAAACCAAAATTCCAAGAAGCTTAGCTACAAGCATAAGGGGAACATAAAGAACAGTGCACCAGCCCTGGCTGATGAGGTTCAGTGGTTGAGCAACACCCCATGAACTGAGAGGTCACCAATTTTAATTCCTGGTCAGGGCACATGCCCTGTAGGGGGCATTCAGGAGGCAGCTGATCAATGATTTTATCTCCCTCTCCCTTCCTCCACCACCACCACCACTTTCTTCTTCTTCTTCTTCTTCTTCTTCTTCTTCTTCTTCTTCTTCTTCTTCTTCTTCTTCTTCTTCTTCTTCCTCCTCCTCCTCCTCCTCTTCCTCCTCCTCCTCCTCCTCCTCCTCTTCTCTCTTTCTCTCAAATCAATTTTTAAAAATTAAAAAGGAGAATAAACAAGTAATCTTTTCTGTCAAAGAGGGGAGTTTAGGCAGCCACCATGTTGGCCCTTATGACTTGCAGCTCCCCTGGGGGCCACCATTTTGAAATGACAAAGGTCAGCTCCTTCCTTTAAATTATCCAATCGAGCAAAACTGTGAGCCTAAGCTCTGACCAATCAAGAGTGAGGGACAGATCACATGCATTAGGCATAAAACCCTGATGGATCACCTGCTCAGTGTGCATGTGCTGCCAGACTGTGTGTCTGTGCATCCTCCTGCAGGAGTTATGATATTTGCCTTACTATCCTGGCTCCTGAGTATACTTGTGTTCTGCCAGGACCCCTGGCTTTGGGGGTTCCCCTTATTTGTAACAATTTGGGGGCTCTTCCAGGATTCTAATTGTCACATGGGGCCAATTGGACCCCTCTCCTGAGGAGGGAGGTGTGCCTTGTTGCTAAGTTGTGGCTGCCTCGGTGAGGAGGGACAGCCATTACTCCCCGGGGCCAATTACGAGCTTGGGATGGAGAGTCAGCCAGCAACACAGGAAGGGCCTAAGCAAGCGTGAACCATGGCAATCAGGTAACCCCATGCATGAGCCAAGGTGGAGAACTGGACTGAGTACTACTCTGCTGGTTGGGTGCCCTCAGAGGTCGGGTATATGTGACTGGGATGTGTCTTGGACATGAAGCTAGTGCAGAGTTGTGATCTCCTGTGAGGGAAGTGGCCAGAGAGGCTTGAAGCGGAAATTGGGGAGTGTGAGAAATTTCCAGTATGGGAGGTTGAGCACATAGTCACAAGGGACTTTCTGAAGATGGGAAAACAAAAATTCTAGGTCTAGGGAATACATTCTCCCAGATAGTCCACTAGGGAGAATGCCAAGGTTCAGGGGAAGGACAGTCTTCGAACCAGGAACAGGAGGCATGGTTCTGCTTTGGTGGTTTTTTTAATCAGGGTATTCTGTGGTGTCTGTAGCCAGACAGACAAGGAGGATGGTATGAAGCTTTATCTGTGGCTTGTGAGCACCTGTACAATGTTTCTGGTGATGCTTTGTGTCTCTTTGTTGTTTGGTTTAATTTGTTTTAAGATGGGGCACGTCTCGCTTTGGGGGAGCCCAGCTATTCGTGGCAAGGCTGAACATGTGGCAGACATTGCAGGTTTGCCCCAGCAGCTCCCGAGAATTCTTAATCTTGGGGATTTTTCCTGCTTTCCTTCTCAGGGTGTCAGCTGCCAGAAATTCTTAGCTAGTGAAATTTTTTGTCTGTGTGTCTGTAATGGTTACTGATTTCTATCTTTTGGAGGCTGTTTGCTCTCCTCTGGTTTAGTAGGAATTACAAGCATGGGGGAGTAAGCAATGTGGGTTGGGGTGAGACTCCATTGTTTGGGCAATAGGATTAATGTTTCCATAATAATGAGCAGTTCATGAAATAGGGACCACATTCCAAGGTTGATTCCCAGGTCCAAGATTGATTCCCAGGTCCAAGGTTTACTCTCAGGTCCCGGGGGCATATAACTTAAAATTTTGAGTTTTCTGGGTTAAATGGTAAAAATTGTTAAACATTTAGGTATTTTGAAATAACAGGATACTAAAATATTAATCTGAGTATGCCTTATATGGAGAATCTAGAGGATAGATTTTAATGAATAAGTCTTGTATTTTATTTAAAATATATCTTAAAAATGTGAATATATTGCAAATCTGAGGGATATTAATTACTTACACGTCACCTAAAAACTAAGGTTTCTAAGGGTTAAGAATTCCCCCCAAAAGAATTCCAACTGGAAAGAAATTATGGTTTTGGTGTAATTTTTAAGGAAAAAGAAGGTGGGTTCTGAAAGTTTGTAAGGTTTGTAAGGAAAGGATGTTATATAAATGGCACAGGCCAGTAAGCCAAGACAAGTGGAATAGGGAAACAGAGATGGATAAGTGCAATTTGGAACTATCTACCGTAGTAAATCCATCTTCCCTAAACCACGGACACTTAAGAGTAAATGATTTGCATTT